TATACCTTAATGAGATACGAGCAGAACTCTCGAGAATTGTGCCAGTTAGCTCATCATTATCCATGTCGTTATCCGCATCATTACACAGTTCAAGTTCATTATCGTCATCAAGAGATACATCACATATCGAGTCAACCTGCAAAGAAAACATTGGCACATACAAGATAAACATTTTACACGTTGACATAAACAGTTCTTTCAATCGTTGTGAGAAAACAACGAATTATACCAACCTCTTCTAATTCCACAGCACTGTCTTTGGAATTGCCCTCATCCCTTGTCAAGTCTACAACCACACCCCTGTCCTTCCTTCTCTTGCTGTGTCGTCTGCGTTTGGGAAGTGTCTTATGTTTAACCTTGTGGTAGTCTACCTCTGTAACTTTGAGCTTCTTTTTTGCAGGACTCTGTCGAAGAGGAAGGCCATTTTCAAGAGAGGAACTTTGACGGAGATCCTTTAGCAGAGATTCCACAGTCATGATAGTATTCTCAAGGATACCTGAATCATCGACCACGAATGTTGCTGATCTTAATTCATCGACTCTTTCCTGAAGGCGCTTTCTGAGCTTTTCAGTTATTAAAGGTTGCTCGTTGTCGTTGATTTTTGCCGGGAAGAAGTGCCACTGGATTGAGCAGGTGCATCATATTCATCGGAAGATGAGGTGGGGACTGTTGTTTCTGCACCGCATACTTGACTGTAAAGTCATTTCCCTCGTCCGTTGAACTCGGTTCCGAGGTTGGTTGTTCGTCAGGATCGGCTTGATCAAAATGCACGGTGTCCAGAGTTATGAAGACGCTATTTTTGTAAGAATGCGGTAAGCTGTTAAAGCTCCACTCGTCAAAGAAGTTGAAAACAGCAAAAATGTGTTTACAAGGGAAATGCGTTTTACGCCAGCTTTCACATTTGCAGCTTGGCTCCAACAGCTTGACAGCAAACAGCTTCGTACTGTTCGAACTGCTTTTGACGAGAAATTCACCTTTTTCTAAATTGACACATTTCACGTCATGTTCGGCAAACTCAGCAACCCCAAAGTTACTCCTGAGGCAGTGTTTGACGAAATGAGGAGGACGGTTGTGAAGATAGTCAGGTATATCGCGCTTGAATTCACGATAAGAACCACTCAGCTGAAGGTTGGTGTCCAGGTAGTGTTGGTAGGAATCAGGGATAAACGACTCCACGATCATCACCACTATTCCAAAAACTGATTTGTCGAGTGATCCAGGCAAATACCTGTATTTGAACAACTTATTCTGCGCTTCAATTCCATTGTTGGTATTCACGATGTTGACGGCCTGTTGAACACGAAATGCATGAGCCCAACGATCGGAACAGTCCAACCACACCTTCCCGCAGTATTCTTGTACTTTGGGATTTCCTAAGTACAACGTCGACTTTCTCAGGCTTTCCACGGCCTTCTTGTAGGACGTCTCCGAACGAGCACGAGCAATTGCTTGCATCAGTTCTAGAAACATCTTTTGTTCCCCTACGGTCAGTCCATTTTTGCCGGCTTTGACCCATCTCTGCCACGCCTGCTCGCGGTGAAAATCGCATATGTATACCGCAACATCTGGGAATTCGCTTTCGATAGCATTTATTTCCGCCATCGAATAATCTACCATAAAATACTTTGGTTTCCACGTAGGATTCCAGCTTTTGATGATATTAAGGGCTTCCGCGATGCATTCATTGTCCTCGTTCTGGCAGAGAAATTCGGCTACAACCTTATAACCCACATTGGTGTGGACACACACGAAAAACAAAGGGATCGCATACTTAGTCGTTTTGTAGGTGGCATCCATAAGTACAAGGTCACTGCCATACCTGAGGAGAAGCCTCCGCTGCCATTCTTCTTGGTGTACGAACAAAAACTTTGTCTCGTCGCCATCCTTGACCTCGTCCCAGACAGGCAATAGGAAGGTTGCCAGACTTTTGCTCAAACATGGGTTGTACTAAAAAAAGACGAAACTACCGACATCATAAAGAGAGATTTTACAAAGCTGTTACATAGCGCGATTATTGAAATATTGAAAAACTTTCCGCAAAGCAAAAAATATGATTTTTTTTCCAAATGAGATTTCCGGCACTTGCGACTGGAGTATTTTATAAAGAGGTTGTCAAAACGACACTTATTAAGTTTTCTTTTTATGTTAACCACAGACCCCAGAGCCCAGTGTTTTCCAAGTATGTTCGGAAATTCTCCCTTGTGTTTTATTTTATGTGTAATGAATCCTGAAAACTCGATACCTTTTTCATTATTTCAAATGTATTTTTTACACTATAGATCTTTATTTACCTTCGTATAATAATTTACTCCCCAGACATCAACTGTTTTATGTTTCTACCCTCGTGTCATTCTTGGAACTTGATTTTGGTAAATTAAAGATTTCTGGAGACTCAAGCTTTCATAATTTTGGGCTGCTTTCTTTGTTTTTCGAAAAAAAAGGAAAAAGAGTGCAAACAAAACAGATCCGGTCCACACGCGCATGTTTTTCACAGCGCCTTGTCTTTTCTTCCAAACCCATATAAACTGTTAGAAACCTTTCGGGCCGAGGTTAAAGAAAAATGTGATCATTTTTAGACTAAGAAAAACGCTTTATTAAATAGTCGCTAAATCTTGACAACCGTGAATGATTGTTGACTTTTATCACGATGATTTAGCATTTCTTCGTACTCATTTTCTCACTGGTGGAAGTTGTGCAATAGTCTGTCAACGCACGTGTGGAACGGATACTGTAGATGCCTTCGGATAATTACCGAAATTAAAATCTTGGCCACTTGATGGCTAAATTTTATTGAACTGTTGCGACATAATATTTCGCTTTCATTTCTTCATTAAAATATGGACGTCGCATCTGGGCTCCATAAATGACTAGAATATTTCCGCCTTAAACAAACAAAAAGGCAGCGAAAGGTCGAGTTGTTTTGTAATATAAACATGAAAACCCTGGCATGGCCTGCCTTGACTGTATTCGTCCTCTGTTTTGCGCAATCGTTTTCCTTTTCCCGAAAATTGCAAACCTAAAATGCTCAAAAGAAAAAGTAAAGAAGATTGAAAATACCATTTTCGGATGATCTCCGCGACCTTTCCTTGACCTCTGTTGTGGAGCGCACAAAACATGTAGAATTCAATGTGGTGAATTGCTCAATGAGATCTTCCTTCCGTTCCTCTGTCCCATCTAAAAACCCGTAACCGTAGTCACTATCAACGCGTACCTCGCAGAGTTTTGCATGAAGAAACTCGATTACCTTTTTAACTAGCGTAGATTGTTTGCCAGAACTATTTGGATTACAGCTAAGGCCAGTAGCCCGCGTTGCAAAAAATTCGGATGACATCTCGTTAGCAAGGCAAGGTCAATGAGCCCTGATAGGGACGTGACTTTAAGTAATAGCGCGGGATTCTTGCCGCTGGTTATAATTAACAGCTGATTCAACCCTAGTCCCCAAGTTGAGCTCCCCTTAGTTAGTTATTACTAAAGTGGGACGACCGCTGACACAATAAAATCATACTGCGGAAGGGGGTCACAGAGTCTACGTGGGAATTCGCGACCCCGTTTGTTTGGTGTGAAATTGACACCAAAGTGTGACAAACCATCATACAAACAGAAGCTTATGAGCTTACGACGACTTAAACATAAGACGAGATACAACAACTGAAATCGGTATGTACCCAGCAACTGAGTTTGCTTATTCCCTTGGTTGATTCATTTCATTCTTTAAGCCTGGATACTGCCCAAGCCACTGTACATAGCGAACTGTATCTTAATTGCCATCCTTGCGATTTTTATGCTAACTTTTTTCTAATTTGATGTCTAAGCCTTTAGTCAATCAATATTTTATAACTCTTCCACAGCGTGAGGCTACCCGCCCTTGATCTTGCTCGTTTGTAGTGACAGTATGGACTTCGACCGCGTTCTTCCTCAAGAAAGCTCTCCACAACTCGACGACGACACGGTCAAGTACGAGGGTGGTAGTAAACATGGAATTAAAGCTCTTATGGTCATGGACGACTTAAGAAAACGCCAACAGCTATGCGATGTAACGATCTGCGTGGGAAACAAACAACTGCGTGCGCATCGCATAGTTTTATGCTCGTTTAGTTCCTACTTCCTTGCCATGTTTACCGGTGGTATGGCCGAAAGCTATGAGGAAAGTGTGACAATTAACGAGGTCGATGGTAGAGCTGCTGAACTCCTCATCGATTATGCGTACACCGGAAAGCTCGATATCACTGTGGACACGGTTCAGTCCCTGCTCTTTGCAAGCTCATTATTTCAACTAACCGCAATTCAGAAAGCTTGTTCAGATTTCTTACTCCGACAACTTCACCCTTCGAATTGTTTAGGGATCCGTTCGTTTGCCGATACACATTCCTGCGCCGGTTTATTTGAAGCATCGGAGAAATACATACACGAGCATTTTAACGACGTAGTACAGAACGAAGAATTTCTGCTGCTTTCTCCCAACGAGTTAGCTTTGTTGTTGACTTGTGAAGACCTAAATGTGAATTCTGAGGAGGACGTGTACAACGCGTTAATTGCGTGGGCGAGGGAAAACGTTGAAGAGAGGCAATCATTCTTAGCTGAGCTTCTTGGTAAAGTTCGCCTGCCGTCGCTCTCCCCTCACTTTCTGGTGGATCAAGTGGAAAAAGAAGAGCTTATTCGTCAAGACATCGCTTGCAGGAATCTTTTAGACGAAGCAAAGAATTTTCACATGCTTCCTGATAGGAGAGGCAAGCTCAGAGGTGAAAAATCACGCCCTAGAAGATCTACCTACGGAAGTTTATACAGTGTCTGTGGAATGGACTCTACTGGTCATCCAGTGAAAAGCGTGGAGAAGTATGACTTCCACAGTGGCAAAGTGAAGCTTGTGGCACCCGTCAACACTGCTCGCAGTGGAGTGGGTGTGGCTGTACTTGATGGGAAGATATATGCTGTAGGAGGTCATGATGGAACAACGTACCTGAATAGGTAAGTTTGATGTTAATGATACGAAATAATTAACATATCCGATGATCAGTTGCTGCTCAACATACTGTTCTCTCAGAAAAATTATCTGGGGTGGGGGTGGGAGGTGGGGTGTGAGGAGGTGGTGTGAACCTGTAGGCGGTGACTTGTCAAATGCTGATGTAAAAAAGGTACATTCTCATAAAATAATACATGTTGGCCATTGTTTTATTTTATGAAAATTTGCCTCTCTATTTCCATGGTTGCTGGAGTATTAAGCCTTGAGATGTTGTGTGAATTGATAGTCAGCCATTTTGTTTTGTCAAATACAAGAAGTGTTTTCAATGGTTGAATAGAAAATATTGGGTCAATAACTGGTGACTGAAAAAGTTGAGTGGTTCTTTGTGTACCTACTTTCACACTATGCATTGTTTCTTTCCCAGTAAGTAGAGGATGCGTCAGATCACAAGGTTTTGAAGTCATTATCATTGTGTCCCCAAACTTTTTAATAAAATAACATTATAACTGTGAATCAAGTACATATATTTTATGATTGGATGGTTCCCAACATATTTTGTAAAATGTTTTTGGCTCCTTAGTGTTGAATGCTATGATATCAGGACAAAGCAATGGAGGTATGTTGCATCTATGGCACACGCACGTCGTTATGTTGCGGCGGCAGCCTTGGATGGCCTTCTATATGCTGTTGGTGGCTACGATGGCTTTGCAGTTCTTGACTCTGTTGAAGTGTATGATCCGAGACTGGACCAGTGGAAACCTGCTGCTAATATGGCTAATCCCCGAAGACATGTTGCTGTAGGTGTTTTGGATACAAAGGATGCAACTGGAGATGGTTCTGGACCAGGTATACATACAAGAACACAATGCTGTTTACAAAGAAAAAGTTCTTCGTGGTATTTTGGCCTGTGACCCACATTAGAGAGCTGCTATCTTCTTTAAAAATTGATTCCCTTACAACCTTTTACAATTAAAATAGCTCATACAAATATTGGTCCCAAAAAAGGCAACATCTTTGGGTATCTCATCATTTACAAAAATTTGAACTTCGGGTTGGGATATATAACATAGTGTGTGGGTTTATGTTTTATTTTTTTTTGGAAAAAGGCTTCCAAACTGCTCCTAGTCAAAAAAGTTTGGCCTCACAAACCCAAGGGCGGTCAGCTCAAAATTTGTCCAAAACATCAGTGATGTGGGTCTTTGGCAGCAAAGGAGAGCTGTGCATCCCATTTTAAGTTGTCCAAGCTTATTTCTGGCATGATACAATTAAAGTTCAATTTTGAGATGGTAAATGTTTGCTTTTGAGTGAAAGATTCAAGTCTGCTCCTGTTCTTGAAGTTAACCTGTGTTTGCCTTGTAAACTTGTAGGGTATCTGTATGCTGTTGGTGGTCATGATGGAATCAACTATTTAAAAACAGTAGAGAGGTACAACCCAGAGACAAATGAATGGACTTGTGTGGCATCCATGGGTGCACGAAGGGGTGGGGTGGGTGTGGCAACTCTTGGAGGATGTCTGTATGCAACTGGGGGTTATGATGGAGCCTCCAACCTGAGTACATCAGGTAAGGTGGAAAACTTGGAAAAATGTCCTTTCCCCCATAACATGTTTGTTTGGAAAGAGGGAATCCATGTAGAGTGTTGCTGGGAAATGGTTAATCAAAAGAAGGAAGAGGGGCTTCGAGAGTTAACCCTTTAACTCTCAGAAGTGATTAATGCATAACTTCTCCCTATAATATCCATACATTATGCGGCAAACAGGTAATGAAAATACTCAAACTCATAAGGTAGGAGTTCTTTTCTTTATCAAACACTAAATTCTCAGAACCAATTTCCTGGGAAATGTGGAGCAGGTAAAAGGGAGAATTATCAATAATCAAGATTTTGGGAGTGAAAGGATTAAGGGTTGGGAGTAATAATTTGATTACTTTCATGAAGACCCTTTTCTTTGTAGTGAATATTTTTTCAATCTTGTTCTTTTATTTGTGTTTAGAACGCTATTACCCAGATGAAGATAGATGGGCATTTGTGGCTCCTATGAGTGTATGTCGCAGTGGACATGGTGTAGGAGTTGTCAATGGTTGTTTGTATGCTCTGGGTGGTCATGATGGAGTGTCATACCGAAATAAAGTAGAATACCTCAATCCTCAAGTTGGTGAATGGACAACTGTTGGCCCAATGGGAATGAGCAAAGCTGTTGCTGGAGTTGCTGTTGTGAAAGAATATTAGTGTCTGTGCTTTCAAGTCTTATCTATACCAACATTTTTTTCTTAATGAGTAAAATTTATTTTTCATGCTATGCATGTTATGTTTTTAGGAAAAATTTATTTTATTATTTGACTAATTCACAAACTATGAATAGTTTCACATTGGGGCAATTCCCAAGATGTTGTGTCTATAATTCAATTGTTGACATTATTAAGAATTAACTAGGTAATGCAGAATTAAACAAAAAAATGGATGTAGGGTGAAGTATTCCCAGCTTCAATTGTCACTGAAGGAGACATTCAAAGCTTATTTATCACTCAGGCAAGTGTAAAAGATTCCATTGAACACACACAAGCAAGGATTGGCAGTCAACAAAATGAATGGCTTTCCTCTTACTAAATGTTGTACGAGGGGAACTCCTTTCTTGCACCTTGTTATCCCTTTAAATCTTAAGAGTGACTAGCATCTAATTTCTCCCCACAATATCACCCCTGAATCACACATTAAGGTCATGAGAATGAAGGAAATGATCACTGATGAAAGAGCCTTTGATTGGTAAACAGATTCTCCTTGTCAGCACCTTAGGAAATGTATAAAGAACAGTATGGAGAATATGCATACTGATGTTCGGGTGTAAAGGGTTAAGTTTCTGCTTTATTGTGTAACTCTACAACTTGTGTGTTGTTGGCAATCACCATGAGTGATATGTTTAAAAAATCCAAGGGCAACTGTTACAAGATAGTTATACAGCCATGCTTCTGATTTAACAATTTTTGATCTGAATCAATTGAAAATATTTATTTATGGTATTTAGTGAAAAAAAAATTAAGCTCAAGCAGAATGTAGCTGTGCATATTTCGTTCTGGTTTGCATGGGGGTGATGTGGAGGTACAGCATTCTTGCTTCAAGACAATTCTGTTGCCTCTGTGAACCTTCTGACTCCCGAGATTCAATGAGTAAGCCTCCATCTTAACTTCCTAATATTTCCCTGATATGTCTTATCAAGATAAAACCAAGGTGTTAAGGTTGTCTGATCTCACTTGTTTGTAAGATAACATATTGGAACTGTCAAGAGAAGTCTTTTGTTAATAACTTCTGAGAGTTTAAGAGTTAAAACTATGGGAAAAGCAGGCTCCCACCAAATAAAAATATTTAAAGAAGCTGTTTAGGTATGTTAAGAGATGTGATATGCTTCCTATGGAGTAAATTAAATAAATTTTAAAAACCTTTTCACTTTTGGTCTTGATTTGTCTGTAACTGATGGATTGATTCGTTCCTCAGCTGAACGTCTTTCGGTTGGATCTTTCCAAGCCGTATGCCAGTGATTCAGTAAACAAACGTAACGTAAAAAAAGACTATACGAACAAAAGTAACAACAATAAAAAGGCAAAGTAAGCAAAATGCAACAATCATTTTTTTTTTTTTTTTTAAACAAAAACCCGGCTCTACGGGCTATGGCAAATCCGACAGATATACATAACAAGGGAAAACAAATTATATCACCTTCATAGAACGTATTTTATTAAAAATTAAAATTACAGTCCATTGATTCATTTACTGTTCATTTTTCGCTTGTCAGAGAAACGTAAATCTGAATGGGACTCTGGTGCAGACAATGTTATCTGACCTTTCATCAGAGAAAACGCCAACTATGGCATTCGAAAGGAAATTTATAACATTTGACGACGAAAAAAAATACACCACATGTTTGTGGTAACATAATTCATATTAAAATAGAACGGCTAAAACGGCCATGGCAGACGTCCGTAGAAATAGCCACCGTTTATTCGCGGGCTCTGCACACAACCATTGCTGCAGTTTAATGTGTCAGACCGCCGAGGACTGGGCCCACTGCTGTGATTGGTTGCTATTGACAGACATGGCATCAGGAGTGGAAGGTACTTCAACTGATGTACGAGCCAAGATTTCTCGCTCCAGTTCCTCGCACTTCTGGCGAAGCTGCAGGGATAATCAGGCAGACAATTAGTTGCAAACCCACTTCGAACGCCAGTTTTAAGTTGATCGATCCCATAACCTAAATTGCGTCCTTACCTGCTCACAGAGGAAATGTAACTCTCGGCTTCTCTGCTCCTCAGATTCCTTCAAAACAAGAGGTAAAAAAGCAGACCCTTAGTATTAGCACTTTGGTACGAGCGTTTTTCGCGCGCGGTTAAGTGCGAGCCATTGTGTAATGGTGAAAAATATCAAGTGCCAGACCCTCAACAAACCTCTCCCCAACTCGGCTAAAATCTTCTTGCGGGCAAACAGACGCGCGTTTTTGTTCGCCCCTTCCTAACTCCTACTCTCATTAAACCCCCCCCTCCTTTCCCCTGGTTATAAGCCTGTTTGCATGAAAATGGCCATCGGCGAAGGTACTGCCTTATAAACATCTTCGCTTCTAGGCCCCAACTTTTGTTCGAATTGTTACCTTTAAATAGTCATGTTCAAAAAACTGAAGGGAGGTAAGATGGATGTGGAAATCCTCGACAAACCCACAAGAAGAAAAACGAGGTCAAAGAGTAATCTCATTTTTTTCTGTTCCCAAAAGACTACGAGCAATCCCATCTTTTCGGTGTAGTCCGTAGCGTGAGCCAAAAAATTCAGTAAAAAAAGAAAATGAAGATACCGCGCCGCGCGGACCTGAGGGAGGAGGCATACCACTTTTCGCACGATAATGCTTATATGGTATTTCAAGGAGTAAACTTGCGAACCTTTGCGAAGCAATGAACGTCTACCGATTCCTCCACATCGGACAAAATGAAATGTGTAAATAAAATCACTCCTACCTGCGGTTGCATTGTGGGATTCCAGCGAATGTAATAGCGAGTCCACAGATCCAGTCTTCTCATACTAGCAACAGGAAACAAAACCTGAAAAGAAACCCCAAAAGGAGTATTACTGAATGACTTTTTTGCGGATCTTCTCACTGACTGACGAGCCGACCGACCGCACAACGACCTGACTAACTGCCTGACTAGCCGACCGACCAAGCAACGACCCGACTAACTGTCTGAATGATTAACTGACAAGCCGGCTGGTATGCTAGACGAATTCTACGTCTGCACCACAGCCGTTCATCACTTTGCGTGGCAGGTGCCTGAGTTAATCGGGCGGGGTGAGAATGTCTCGCACGAACAATAAGTCACGCGTGTCTGATCTCTCTTTCACGTCTTACTTGCGTTTTTTTAGCGCGCCTGCGATGCAGGTTACATGACTAACTGCTTGGGGGTATAGTGTACAGTAATAGAGTAAATGGTTTGAACCCAGGGGTAACACAGTGTACAGGGTTGTACTTACATGCTGATGAAGATGTGGAGCATACAAGGGATTCTTAAACTCCATGAGCTGAAAACGTAGGCAAACGATTCCATTAGTGACTTGAAAGAGCCGGAGAGATTAAAAAAAAAACAAACAAACAAACAACTGGATGTTATTTCAAAGTATGTTCCATTGAGGCGATGAAATCCACCGTGTGTAAACTTGCGGTTCTGTCTGCCTTACTTGACTGGTACTTTGATGAAAGGAAAGAAAGCTCAAGTTACTTACACGTGTGTTAATGTAAGTCCACAGAGAAACAGTCTTAACTTTCACGTCCTAAAATGAAACAAAAGTGACAAATGAGGAAGTAAAGAAAAGAGATCGGCGAGCAGGCGAGGAGTAGCAATTACAAATTGAACACAAGCTAGCGTCTTCACTCCAAAAAAACAACTCACTCAGTGTGGATAAAATGGACGAAACAAGGCAGCGAGCGTATATGTTGTGGTTTAATTTTGTCCTTGGTTCAAATTTTATTTTCTTTCGTTTCTGGGTGTTGTAATGTATGATAATGAGTTTGAAACAAAGGAAAATAAAATTTGAACCAAGGATAAAATTAAACCACAACATATATAAGCACCAACCCTACACTCACCTCTTTAACTCTTTGGTACTCTGAGTTGTACAAGAAAGTACCAAACAAGCAGCTGAAAGATAAAACGAGTAAAAAAATACTTAATGTTAAAACCCTTCCCGACAAACGCGAACGAGCTCCAGCTGAGAAAGAAAAAAAAACGCAAAACTGAAGCTTAACTGAGGCTAACGGTCCATAAGTTTTCAGTGTCTCGGAAAATTAGAATAAAAGGCAGATACAAGAAACTGGTTGCTGTTACCTTGTAAGATGATCCAACACAGTTATCAAGAAATGTTCGTTGAACTCGAAAGCACAGGGAAACTGAAAGATAAAAACAGAATACAGTCGACTGGGGAGAGAGTTCTGTCGTAGCGTGAAGGACTATTTCACCCTTCCACTTCCACGATCACATTAGTAATTCTCCTTACTGTTTGCCATACAATTCTCATGATGTTATTTTGGAGAATTTGGTATTGGATCAACTGATAATCCCCTAATTTGATATTTTTCTTTATTCTCATCACTCGTTTGCTTGATGTTGTTTCAAAATTCAGTGTAAGGAGTAATTCAGCCACGGTCACTCATGGGAGTTAAAGGGTTAATCTTTCTCAAGAAGACTTCCATAAAGCACGCAGAACTGTCTTCGAGAGCAGTGAAATAAGTGAGACAAAGTCGAGATCGAGTGTTTGGATAATTTTTTGAGCAGAGGGATTTGAATTCAGGAGCGGAAAGTAACCGACATTGCATTGGTTTCACTTCAATACTCCTTTTGACTGGTGTACGTACACCACCGAGAAAGACAAAACGAGCGGAAGGTCTCGATGAGTTCTCACTAGTTGCTTGTGATATTTGCCTTTGCTCCGATTGGCTGTTGTGATTACTTTGGTTGTGGTTTTCCACACTCTGTTGAAAACAGCTCTATAACACAAACCTGTTTGGTGACTTGCCACACACAATCTATGAACTGAATGAATACTGGCGAACGCTGGTCATCTGCGTGATTCTTGTCTCCGTGGCCATAACGCTAACATTTCAGAGAACAGTAGTTAGTTAGTGAAAACAAGCAAATGAACAGACTAAAAACAAAAACAAAAAGGAAGAGGCGAAGCTATTAAGTGACCAACCGTATACCTGTTGAAATTTATGCCCAAAACTTGTCCACTCTTTCTCAATCAGAACCTGTGGAGAAATTACAGGCAATACTAATGCAGTATTCTTAAGAAACACTGGATGGCATTTCACAGAAAATATTTTAAAATTTACCTCAAATCCTTCAATGGTTCTGTAAAAAGGATCAAGGAGAAGCATAGCGAGGGCGGTAAGCTAAGGAGACAAAGAAACACACATTATCTTTACCACCTAAAGCACAACATACAAATGAATGAAATGACGAGACGTACGTATATGGAAAAAAGGCAATCCCAAAATTTGAGCAGCGCGCAAGATCGCTGACCAGCATTGCCTTTGGTCTCACCTGCGACGTTCTATCCCAGCCGTCACTGCAGTGCACAACAACTGACATGCGACATCTGTCCACGGCATCAGCTATTTTAACTGCACCAGAAAGAATGACCTAAAATTGATTTTAAACCAATCAGACAGTCAGCGAGATCAATAACAAAACTTGCGTGACATCAGTAGTTCCTCAGCCTAGCAATCAGTCAGTCAGTCAGTCCTTTAAACGGCGAATCGTTCAAAAAGTTAGTGAGCGAGTCCGTCAATGAGTCAAGAAACCAGCCAGCCTACCAGTTCAGTCAATCAATTAGTCAGTTCATTGGTCGGTTCGCCGGTCCATTGGTCAGTTAGTCAGTCTGTTTGTTTGCGAGATAGTCAGCCGGTCTGTCAGTCAATCAGACTATCGGCCCGCCAGCCAGTCAGTCAGTTTGTCAGGTAGTCAGTCAGTCAGTCAGTCAGCGTCAGCGCTTCGTCAGTTGATAATACTAAATTGCCCTGTTATATTCTTCCACCGACGCAGCACCACAATTTCTTTGGAAACTAACCCCCTTAATTCATTTAGACAATTAGTCGGTCAACAAATCGTTTCATAAGGCTCGCGCTTGGCGAAATACGATCTTTCAGAGCTGTTTTCGAATAGCTGCCTACTTATACAGTGTTATTAATTAATTGATAACTGGCAAACTGGACCCTGCTAAGATTCCAAAGATATCTGTTTGTAATAATGAAAAACGGTAATATAACTTTTTGAAAATTTTAATGAAGTAGGGATTTTGCGCCTCACTTGTATACTTTGGGCCCTCACCACCCCCCCCCCCAACTCCCCCAATGTTTCAAGACCTCTAAAGTGTTATCTTCTTAGTAATTAGACCTTGATGTAATCCAGCCAATGAGTGCCCTCCAGGTTTGTGAGCCAGTGAACATCGTCAATTGTAGGATAACAGATGTCTTTAAGTTTACGCAAGCTATAAACGAAATAGAAAATAGAAGGGGTGGGAATGCAGTTTTACTGATAACTGAACCCTACATGGCAGTGTAACAAGCACAAATGGCATTACTCAGAAATGGTTTAAGGAATAGTCAAAACTGAACGACACATTTGCTAATTCACCGCATACATTACCTTTCTCTCATGACATGAATGTTTGCAATATCCAAGAAAACTAGCTCTGTGTTCTGGTAATTCTCTTGCATTTCATACCCTCCTCCCTTAGCCTGAAATTAACGTCACAGAAATTCAGAAAATTTCAAAAACTTGTAGCTTGTACTAGGCTCTTGAAGAGTGAAGATAAAAAAAATGAGCTGGTTAGAAAAAAAAAGAGGGTGCCTTTTGAGTGACTAGTTTCCCGTTAATTTTTCTCTTGTTTGGCTTGCTTCTTCACTCCTCCTTGCAAACTGACAGCCACGAACAGGCTCTGAAACTTGCAAAACTCGAGATCCGTTCAAAATACCTGATTTGCCAGAGCGTTTATCTTAGGCCTTGCATCCATGATGATCAGCTTGTGTCCTCTCGCATTGGTATCTAGAATGGCCTGGTAACAGAAAAAAATCCTATAATGACTCCTTTCAGCTACGTTTCAAGTTGGCAAGGCATAACTTAACAAACAAGGTTCTGGACTGAAAGTCGGAATCGTCCCAAAAATGGCAGATCTTTTAAAGCTCAATGCCAACAAACAGGAAATAGAGAAACAAAAGAACTGTGACCTTCAGTTTGCTCTCAGTGGTCACGGAAGGCTTACTACTGAAAACCTAAATAAAATTGATGTATCTGACCTGAAAATATTTTTCATCATCTTTGTTTCTGGTTTTTCCAACAAGACCAGCATTAGGCTGACTGGCTCGAGTAATAGAAGCAGAATTCTTTGGATGCACCCAGGAGAGTACCTAGAATAATTGAAAAAAAGAAAAAGAAACATGAAAACAAAGAGAAGCAGATGTTAAATTATATTAACAAATTTGTAACAAGTCCTTTGTCCTATCATTGCTCAAAGGAACTGAGTGTCCAGGTAAGAAACTGATACTTCTATTTATCCCCAAATTTCAAACAAACTTAACTTGAATGATTTCAATGGAAAGTCGCCTGATTTTTGTTCTTATTTCAAGAACTGCACTATAACTTGGCTATCTTTGCTCTTGGATTGAAAGAGTTGCATACTAGTTAACTCACTGGAATTCTCTCTCTGCTGCGGAATAAAGAAACTTTCTTTAAATCTTCATCTGACACTGAAGCAGGTACTGCAAACTAAACAGAGCATTAAGCATCAGTAATCAGTAATCAGTAATCAGTAATCAGTAATCAGTAAACATCCTGGGGAACAATACTGAGTATATCTGATTCGATCAACACCTTGGCCAAGCAACACAAAATGAGTCAGTAACTACATGAATAAAACACTGTCCAGAGTAGTTTCAGACCACACCCACATGGCCAGACAGGATCTGCTTTGGAGGAGGTGAAGTGTCCCTAATTATAGTGATTTCCACCACCACACACCCAGGATCAAAGAAGTAATTAATTCCCCTTACAATAGCTCTTCACTCAAACAACATCAGCACAGATGGTAGGATATAGAGGTGGTACTTCCCGAAGGCAGCTCTTTGTCCACTGTTTCCAGTTTGAGCTGGAAATTTGTGTGGCAGCTTTCATGGTATTATCTCTATTTGATCGTTCATATCATTTGGAAATTTTGAGCCTGATTTTCAAAAAAAAAAAAAAAAAGACATTACAAAATAAGCATGTTAAAGTCATACCAGAGCAGGATAGGTATCACACAGCTCATATTTTTCATTGATTCTTGTGATTTGCCAACACTCATTGGGTACATTCTGTTAGAAAACATAATATTATGTAGTGTCTGTATCACATCACAAAGAATAAGAACAAGTAACAAAAAGTGTCAAGAAAACAAATCAAAATTAGCAGTGGACATATGTGTGGTGTAGAAAGTCTTAAATACTATAAATACATTGTTACTGTGGTGCCTATTGAGCTTATACAGTGTATTTCAGATTTACCTGTCTTTGAAACTCTTTTTCTGGATCGTAGATATCCCATCCATTGATATCAAATCTTTCTTTGTAGGAGAAGGCAAAGAAAGGCTGTGAACCAAAGGTATCTCAAATAAATTAATAATCCTTGAACATGCACTAAGAATCCGCTCTATGAGACATGAAGAATACTACATGAAACCCTACCTCAAGTGTTTTCCATGTCTAGGATTTGTTAAACAGTCTACCCCTAACTATTAAAACCCAAAGAGTGACTTTAGCATGTAATTTCTTCTCACAGCAATACTGCTGAATCATCCATTAAGGTCATGGAAATAAAGGAAATGATCACCAGCCTAAGAAGATTTGATTGTTAAATGAATTCTCCTTGTCAGTATCAATTGAAAGGAAATGTATTGAAAAGAGAAGAGAGGATATTGAGATTTTCTTTACTAACAGAAAAATGCATGCATAGAGCAACTTTTAACAGTAAGAACTCATAATGCACCCCCAGCACAACAAACAGTTTAATTTTATTAATAGTAAAAATAAGAATTTATCCGCACCTTTGAATTTGTTGCAGGAAATGCATAAACCTAGATGAACATGAAAACATAGGAGAGAGTTTTAGACTAACTATGAGTAGGACTATTAGTTTTCCTCGCTAAGAGTAGTGTGCATGCTTCATAACATGACAGGTCACACTAACTCTGAAAAAGTCCTAGCCGACCTGTCACCAACTAAGATTTTTTTCTGGAAATCTCAGATAAAACTATTTCAGGAACACACACACAAAAAAGAGAATTTCAAAGAAGGTATCTTCAACAGGGCTTGGCATCAATTTGTGAAGTGTTTTCCTAATTCTGAAAAAGCTCTTGTGTGTTACATCATGTTTATCTATAGTTATAAATTTGTTACAAGGGGCTAAATGCCACTCTATTCCAAGCCAAAACTCTTAGTCATAGTCATTCTCATAGTCAGATCTCAAGTTCTCTCATGATGGAAGATTACAATAAGCAGTCTACATGTACACATGCTACAAATTAAATCTTGAAAATTTCATTTAACCTTCATACATATGTACAGTATACTGATAATTGCAACATTTCTTGATTTGGTACATAATTGTTTTACTTGCAGAAAACATGTTACTGTTTAATAATAGGAACTGCATTTTCACCAACATTTTGATGTTAAAAACAGATATTGACAATAGATTGAGCACTGTTCTATGTCATCATTAAATAGTTTCTGTGATTTTATTAAAACATGCAACTTTAGAGAGGACTTCCATATTCTTCTCAACCATCAATGAAAGAAAGTAACCTTAAACCCCATATCAAGTGCCATCTGCAAACCTTATGTTGCACAGGTGACTTGCGCGGGTGTACATTGTATCAATTGACTATCATGTGACGTAAGAGATCACAAATCACACCACCATGGTATACAGTTTTTTACTGGTTGATAGTAAGAGGTTATAAATCACACCACCATGGTACACAGTTTTTTTCTGGTTTACAGTAAGAGGTCATAAATCACACCACCATGGTACACAGTTTTCTATAACCCCACAAAGATGGGCAAATCAGGGAAAATGAAAAGAATTTGCCAGTATATAAAAAAATTGATTTTAATTAAAGTGTTTTAAGCTTGTTTGATTTTCGTTTCCTTTGTTTTTGTATTATTACAGCATTATTTAATATACATGGTTCGAAGTTAGCCACAACTCAGTCTCGCATAATATAATCAGTACCAACCAGAACTGAATACTTTCAGTAAAAGACAATCAACCAAATATCAGCCTTGGTTGGTAAATATCTTAATATCTTCTTGCCTAAAACTGCTACAAGATTTGAGCTTCAATCATAACCTGTCTAGGCATCAGAATCATTACAGAGACTCAAGATAAATACCATAAGCTTGTCATAGATTATTCGTCTAGAGTGATTCTCTTGCTTGTGTGCAAAACGTAGATTTCTCATGTCCTGGGAATGAATATGAAATTATTTTATGAGAACTGGCAGTTTGGGAAGGTGGAGGGGGGGGAGGAACCTGGACCCTTCACTTATCCCCTCTATAAGTTTCCTTAACCTTGCTTAAAAGCAGAATCTTGATGCACTGATTGTAATTCAATAATAAAAGATGGGGTATACTAAACTAACTTTTGGAACTGCGAGCAAAAAAAATCAAGGGCCAGTATTTTCTTAAGGCAAGAAGTACTACTGAGACAACCTAACAAACAATTGTAGTAAAATTATTAACTGATAAAAATGATCAGCATTAAAAATAGCACCTCTTTTCTAGTAAATCCTTGAAAAGAGAAAAGTCTACATAATTTCTTTTAACATGTAGCAGTAGTTTGCAAAAATACCAGACATACAGTAAGCATAAACCAAAACAAAAAGAATATTCACAGAGAATTAGTATGTATATTTAATGATGAATTTATAAACTCAGCCCAGGCTGAATATTCCATGAAGTACTGAGCATAAATAGGTACTGTCTAGTTTCTTGACATTCAGAAGACCATACCTTGCAGTACAGTTCCAGACCATAGGCATTTTCACCTCTACTGGTGGTCCCACCAATCTTTTCTACTCGATAAATGGTACCAAGAGGTACTTCTACTGTAAAGGGTGGGTCCTAATAAAAGTGAAATGATTTCAAGAATGATATTCAACATCCAATATTGGTGGTCCAGGCAGGTAAATATTTAATACTGTAAGTTGTATTTACAATATATCTTACTAGAATCCTGGAAAATTATGAACAGAGCAGAGCACCTCTTTCACTTGTCTATCAATGATTGATACAGCTGCAATGGCACATTTTGGGCTTTGCATTTCTACATCATTGAAATTTTTACAAGGACACAGTTCTATTCTACCTTAAATTCTATCCAATATTTTTTAAAGTAAAATAACAGTACCCCCCAGTTGGGTAAATTTGTCTGATGCTAAGATAATCAATAGTTTCATGCTTGAAGGTAACAACACCGATAATCATGACTCATCATTTCCCTCATCCTTTTGTACCACATACGTTCCATTCCATAATGAAGTAGAGATACAAATATTCAAAACATGCTACTAATTCTATGTTATGAGGATCACACTTTGTTTGGTCAACATAATAATTTAGAGTACTAATTAGTTATCAATACAACTTAAAATGCCACAGTAAATTTAAACTCCACCACAATAAAAGTAATGCCAATACATAGCAACAGTTGTGAGCAACATTATCAATGCACTCAACATAGTAACTCTCATTTAAAACACAATACACTCAACATAATAACTCTCAGATTTAAACACAGTTTAGCTATGTATAAATTCTTACATCATCTGCCTTGAAGTGAAGCCTGTAATTTGTAATCTGAAGTGTACCACGTACTGGTCCAGAGAAGGGACATAAATAGGTAACTTCTTTTGCTGTTGATGCAAATCAAAGCATGCTCAAAAAAGCTACATCACACCAGCATAATGCAGCCTTAAATCAATAAGACCTCTTCCTTGTGGAGGAGTGTATGTGTGATCCTTCAAGTTCAGTATCACACTCTTTGTCTTGTCTTACCAAAAATTCCTAAGCTATTATGCTCAGAATAGAAGCAGTCCACATAGTTAATGATATGAAAGTCTTGAATTCAATCACTAAGTCACAAATGACATACCAATTTCACATCTCAGTTTTTGTTAATAAAGTAATTTGTAAGATTTGAGCATCTTCTTTTGTTTACCAGTAAACATAAAGTGATAACTACCATTTGCTTGAGTTTTCTCCCCATCAAGCAGTTTGAGGTCACCTTGAGAGCTGGGGTCAGCCTAAAATAATCATATAACAATCATTAGTAAAGTACAAGTTAACTGCTGCCTTCTTCTTTGGAAGGAGGGTGCACAGAATGTCCAAGGGCTTTCACTATAGTCAGGTAGCTGTAAGATGGAGAACCACCACCAGGGTTGGCAAATCTCCACAATCTGCTACAAAAGTGTTCAGGACTGCTAAGAAAAGGCTGCTACTGAACTTCTCAAGAACTAAAAGAAACCAGCTGTGATGAAATTTCAACAATCCACATAACCAGAAGGGCTGCTCATTTTCTGGCAATAACAACTGTGTTTAATTGCCTTATTTAACATAAATGTGGTCAGATCAATTTATATAGTGCAATGAATATAATGATAATACAAATACATAATATGAATAAACATAATGATATTTCATTAACCAGCTCCCTAACTAAGATTGAAAGTGAATACCTGAGTTTATTTTGAAACTTACCCTTTTTAAACTACTGATAGTTTACTTTGGTAAAAGTTATCAAACAATTGTTTTGGACATGATCATTGAGAATCACAAGAGCTTCTCCAGATTCAATGAAGACAATTTAGCTCCCTAAAGGTTACCACTGTAGATTCATCAAATATGACTTACTCTATCTCCTGGATTTCCATCTTCAGAGGGATCATTATTAGGTGAATGTGCTCTGTGTTGGGCAGAGCTTCCCTCAGGACCTTTTCCTTGTGAAACTCCTTTCATCTGGATATTGTTCATGTACAAGTTCTTAGAATTTGTTGTTTACATCACCTTCAAAGCTACAAGCTTTATTGAAAAAAATATATTTACTAAGTACACATTAACCTTAGGAGCAAAAACATGAAAAAGTCATTTTTGTCTGAATTTATGAGGCTACAAGCATAATACAAACTTAAATGTTGGAGCCATCACAGAATTGAAACTGCAGCTTACACACCTTTTTTTTGGCCGAGCACATTTTGAGAATTGAATGGATAGTTTGGGTGGATGAACCACCACTAGAGGTAAGACACCAGAGCAAAATGTATATGCACTTATCAAGGAAGTAACATACGGCCAAAAGTTGCCTAATCATTGGATACTATTCACAAAAATGTGCCAAAACATAGTAGGACTAAAATCATTATGTTTGAAAATACACGAACCTTTTTCGATTCTGAGTTATTTGCTTAGAAAATTTCGAAAAAATTTGAGCCTTTACTACGTCGAATTACTTTAAACAGCTAAGTATCTGGGTTTTTCACATTTATACACACTTAAACATTGTATTCTTAAAAGAGAAATAGGTAAGTATGTCACTCCCTCCCACAAACAAAACATCTACCAACACAACTTTACACCTGTTTCGTAGCCTGAACATCAGTTAACAGTCGAAAGGTAAGAGTTAAGAAAAAAATATCCACAATAGTTCAAAATTAGAGTCGGATTTCTCACCAGAATTATATTGTTCCAGCAATTCTTAAAGAGTTTTCTGAGCCATATTGGATATTTGGGATCAGCTCAGCCTCGGTTGGAATGTGGTCGTGAGAAGTATGGGTAGGAATGACATCAGAGATATATCTGCTTAACTTTTTCGGTCACGCGAATTTAAAATTGAACGCAAACGGCTAAGATAGATTCAGACAGAAAAATTAGACAAGTCAGAAATTGTTTGATTTTTGGAATTTATAATAAAAATATCAAAAAATTTCGATGCGATTTCTTTAATTAAAATTAAAAAAAACTCCTATTATACGTCATCAGCGGCAAGCCCTTTGAGGACTGGGCATGACGTTCGCCACGAAAACGAGGTTGGATTCTCAACGATGGCGACAGCTGAGACGCGAATAGTGAGTATTTCCTTCGAATATTTTGTTCTAATTTAACAACAAAAAGATTATGTGTTCTGCTGAAGAGTGGTTAGATTATTAAATTAAGGATTGCTCAAAATTTTGGTCTAAATTTTCCCTCGTTATGTTGTGGTTCGTGAACAAATTCTTTTTCGGGAAATTTTTGCTCGTCTGAACAATGGAAATTGACATGAAAACAGAAGCTCTAAGCCAAGCAACACCCAAAAGACCATTCGTATTGATGGCAAGATAGCAGAAAAATTGCTCTAGTTTGATGTCAAATTAATGGAAATTGGTCTCAACGTATTTTGAGGTTGTTCAGGAATTGTTGTGAAACATCTGTCTAATAGCATACATGAGTTCGCTTAGAGTATTTGTTTACATAATTTCGGTTTTGAAATAATGTTTAAGGAAACGGTTTTACAAACTTCTTCTACAAGAAAGCGCAGTTGAACTGTGAGAAGACGTTAGTGTCCAAGCGTATTTGAAAACCTCTATAGATGTCGCAAAGAAACTGAAAGGTGACGGGGGTTTAAGTGAATAGTACTTTAGACAAAACTAAAACACTCATTATCTTCTGGACCACATTTATTGAAAAAAACATCGATCTTGCCATCTCTGTTCCTTTCATTTGAATGATTCGAATTCTTTACTTATCCTCCCTCTTTTATTTCTGGCTATTTATAGAATGTATACTTATAACTTTTGAATACCTGGAACCTACTTGAAGATTTAATTTTTTGGACTGATCCCTGTAACATTCATGTTAACACGAAGTTGCATTTTTGTCGTCCGTAAAAGAACATAAATGTGGATCAATTAGGTGTTATAATGATTTTACTGCTTGTATGATTGTATTCTTTTTATTTTAGTTATGTATGTGTGGAAAGTGTTTTTCCTTTGAGTAAAAGGAGTAGTCATGTAGATCTTGAAATATCTTAGATAATTTACAAGGTGGTGTTGATTCTTACACGTCTAAAAATATCAAGATGTCATAAAACTCGAGTTTAATTGTATGTTTTTTTGTTGTTTTAAAACTGTAAAGCATTGTTTTAAGGTGTTGATGACCATATGCATTGACTTTAAAGGAACAATGATCTTTTGAACATGCCCTATAGATAGTATTTTTCCCCATAGGCAAAAAATCATGTATATATATCAGCATATTGCTCTACACACTCCTTGTCTATGTGTAGATATTGAAATGTCTGTTGATTTGTTGTTGTTGATCCCTGCAAATTACTCACAAAAACAGAAGATTGATAGAAAATTCAAACATAATTGTGTGGTTGTGGTTTGAGAAATGTTTGTGACATATTTATTAATTTTGAATGAAATTAAAAGGGCGAGATTTGCTTAAAATACCTTCTATTCATGCTAAATTTTGTTTGAAATTGTAGGAAGAGAAAGTCTCAGAAGAAAAAGTCTCAGAAGAAAAACCAGGTTAGTTACTTAGACAGTTCAATAAAAGATGTGACATACTTGTGCTTTTGATCATTAAATGTGATGGTTTGTTATATTTATAAGGGAGCTATAGGGTTACCTTAGAAAAAAAAAATGATCAACCCTACAAAGGGCTGATGAAAATATTGTATTTAGTTATGCTTCTCAGCCACTTTTTTTGGTTTATATTTAATTGAGTTCTTTTAGCTTTGCCCTTCAGTCTGATTTTTACCTTTCTTAAGATTTTAATCTACTATTTTTTCAATTCTTCACTTTATATCAAGAGATGTTACTGAGAATATCTTTTATTCACTCAAAAATTTCCTTTCTTATTTTCACCATATTTCTGTGCCAGCCGTTTTAAATTAACCTTATCTTTTAGTTACCTTGTTTCAACATAAATAAACCATGTTATACCTATCTTGAATAACTAAAATAATAGATACTACCCAAAGTCAACAAAATATGAAAATCTGAACTTAGTATTTTTAAAACACTATGTTGTAAACATGCCCAAGACTTGACTTTTGTGTCTCTATAAATTAATTCACTGGTTTAGAGGAAGTCAGTTTGACACATATATATTATACTAATCCTTTTCAATAGCTTGAGGACATTATGTTTTGCCATTGTTATAAACCATTTTTATTTATACTTTCTGGATGATAATCTTATCTTTCCTGATGCAAAATGAGTGACAATCATATGACTCATATGACTACCCCTTCTCATTTAAATATGCTGCTACATGTAGCAATGTTCACAAGGATCATGGTTATACATTTGCCAAAAGGTGCCAAAATGTCATTGGTTTTTGTGAATCCTGGTGATTGTAAGGATCAATTTGGAGACTTCCTGTGTTGTGTGAGGGTTTTAAATACATCATTTTTCCCACTTGTTTTCAAGAATCACCAACAAAAATTTTTATTCCAACTTTAGAAAGTCAAAACCTTATCAAAGTATACATAAATATTATATTCAATTTTTTTTATCACAAAGCTATATATTTTGAAGACAATGAATCTCTCTCTGCTATAGTAAATTTGATTCTTGACCCATATTTATTTTCCACTCTTCAAATGTAGTTCATGTATTAATGTTGAATTACAAAATGCATGTCAGGTCAAAATGATTTTTAGCAAATTTATTCAAGCAATTTCATAAATTTTTTTTTCCAAGTATAATAATACAATTATTGTACCAGCCTTGGTAATTCTTAAACAGAACAACTGCAAATTATACCAGACTGAATGTAACCTAAAATATATGTTTAAACTTGACATAAATGCTGGTGTTTGATGTGAATTAAGTTCCATTGATTTTAAACTAGTTTTGTATGTATTTTCTGGTATTCTAGGTCTAGGATATCATTATTTTCAAAGGATGTAGAGTAAATTCAGCCTAGTTTAAAATCAGTGTTATCTGAATTCCTCTTAAGCCTACTACATCGATATTCAACTGAAGGCTCAAGCTCTTTTGTGAAACTGAGTTAAGATCTTGTGTGTATTGAAATTTTTAAAATTATTTTTCATAGTTTTGAGAAAGCCTGTACTTTATAAACTCCAAGGTTTGTTTGGGCTTCCTTATTATTTCTCTGCTATCTAATAGTTAAGATACTGTGTATTGGTAGTTCTATAGTGGCAGTCATGTTAGAAAAAATTTGCTAGAATAGAGATTTGTATAAACAATTACATTCAGTGCTGATTTGATTTGTGTAGGGAGCAATGACACACCATTACCAATGAATTCAGGGGCAGCTGCACGAGAAGTCCCAGCAAAAGAAAGTGTGGACATGGACACAAAAGATGAAAAACCAGCTGGTAATGCTGCTCAAGTATCAGATGAAACAAGTGTAAAAGCTCCTGTAGAACAAGAACAACCAAATGTCAAGGTACTGTTCATGAGTTGTTGTTGGATATGAAAAGAACCTTCTGATTTAATCTGGCTCAAGAATGTGTACCATTCCATTGTGGTGCAGAATAAAATAGTTTGGTGCAAGTTTCCTTTCATAATCATCCAAAATTGTGGTCATTCATGGAGTTTAAATACAATTATATAGGAATGACAAATTAAAACAACAACCATTGGTTGTACACTGCTCTCACTTCCCATGTTGATCACAAGGTTTTTCCATTGATCAAAATTTTTCAAAACAAGTTTATTTTTATTTTTTCCTTTGTTTTCATTTAAGATAATGAATGCAGAAGAAATTAACTTACGATCATGAAACTGGTTTGACAAATTTTAAACCAAGGGAAAAATTGAACCACAATTTATTCATAAGTGTTTTTATCTGAAATTGAAAAAACAGGAGTCAAACAGGTTTGCAGAATTTTAAATCTAGAAAAAAAAAATTGAGCCAACATCATGCACACAAGTTTATTTTAAAACTTGCTGATAAATTTGTAATTCACTGATTGATCTTCAAAGGTTGCTAATGCTTGAGTTTTCAACACAGATTTTGCCAACATTGTCGTGATATTTTCCACAAATATCTGTTTCCATGGTGGCAGTAAAAAGAAATTGAAAGTGGCACACTAGGAGGTGCCACTTTCCTTATTTTTTAAAGTGTTAGCTATGGGAAAATTTATACTATTTTAATTTCAAAATAGGGGAACTTTTTTTTTAAATTTATGTTTCTCTCTTTTGCTAAGGAATAAGGAATGTTGAATTTATTACTTCAACTGGTCCAAAGTAAAAATCAGTTGTCAATGTTTGAACAATCATACTACATGTATATGTGTTCTCATATGTTATAATTCTTGGGTTTTTCTCTGATCTCAATAATCTACACAGATACACTACATTTAACTTTCAAATACAAGGTTTAGTCTAAAAATAGATCAAATGGAAGGTTCTGTATATACGTGTATATAAAGGTCAAAATGTAACAACGTTTCCTTCATTTTGGTAGATGGTAGGAATGATTTTATTTGTATTTTGAGGGTAGAAATGAAAATTGAATTAAAATCCTGTCTTATTTGCTTGATAACTGATAAAATAATTTATTTCTTCAAAGTGATTCAACATAGAATGTTGCTTTTCTTTAGTTTCTCTGTGTTCAGTTCTTTTTTTGTTTGGGAAACCATTTTTATTGAGTTTCTTATGTTAGTAACAAGTACATAGTGGATTGACAACAGGAATTTATAATTTATTTACAATCCAAGGAAACACTTTTATTTATGAGAAATCTTGTTGTACCTTGCTTTCTTAAAGAGTAATTAAATTTCTGGTTATGATTAAAACTCAACTTGAAGTGCAATGGAAAAGATTTTTCAAAGCCTTACAGCTTATTGTGTAAAATGAAATGACCATTCATGGCAATTCTGGCCAATTTTCCTACAAATTAAAAATAAGTTCAACAACAGTACAATTTATATGATTTTATAATTTGAAGAGAGCTTAAATCATCAATGCCTTGTTTTTCATAGAAGGGAAATACTAATTTAACGTGTTAAAAAACTGTGAGATGTGGATGAGTGAAATATGTTTTTTTTTTTTTCCATGTAACTTGCCTTGATTGAATACTTAATATAAACATTTCCAGGGTATGACTCATTTTAGTTGCACTTGGATATTTAATGATAATTAACAAATATTCACCAAAGTGAACGTGACTGGTTGGTTTAGTGTATACAGCATGGATACTAAAAAAAGTTTATTTCTGTCAGTGTACCCAAAAATGGTGGGAAAATGAAATTGTTAATGCCAATTTTGTCTCTTGAACTGCTTGGAGGTGAACAATACTTGATAATCACTACTGAACTAGCCAATCAGTGTGCACAAAAAGCACTGTTCACCTGTGAGGTGTATACACTGTACTTAGTACAGATATTTTCCTTTACTGTACATGAATATTGAGTGAATTATTAGTCGTAACAGGTAGTTACTTAATATGATTATTTGGACTTGGACCATTTTTAGGCAGAAGTTGAGGAAGAGAGGCAGGGAGAGATCCTGGCTTTCTATGGCGAAGAAGAAACCCGTAATTATGACAGCCCAGATCCAGGCCCTGCAGTGGAAAAAGATGAAGGATCCACCCAAGAAAAGCCAAAAACTGAGGAGGTTGGCTAAATAAATGCACTTATATTTACATAGTGTGCAGAACAAGTCCATGATTTCAGCAACAGACCCCACTTTCTATGAGTTAACTGGCATAATAAACCACATGAGATGTTGGGAAAACACCAGAAAAGTTTGTAAATCATGAGCCTCTGACTCAGATAATGGTAGCACTAAGAAAAGTAATTTTGTAAAAAGTAATTTTGATCTCCAATCAAGAGTTTCAAAACTCAAACAATTGAAAACTTGACACCATAACCTTTTTATCCTAACATCAGTATCTGTTTTCTCCTTGCTCTTCTCCATACATTTCCACTGGTACTGACAAGGAGAACTTGTTTAACAATCAAAGCTTCTCAGGTTGGAGATCATTTCCCTTATTCTCATAATCCTGATGAATGATTTAGCAGTATTATTGCGTGGATAAATTAGATGATGGTCACTCTTTAGTTGTGGGGTTAAGGGGTTGAAATGTTTGAGAATGAAGTTTGGAATATATTATTGATGGACTGTCATTTAACATTCCACTTATGATGACCCTTGTTGTTTCAGTAAATTCTCTCTACTAACCAGCCTTAATAGTTTTTATTTGGCTCTTCTCTCTTTGTGGAAACCATAAGCTAGATCTGACTAGAAAATATTTTCTTGATTACAGGTTAAGGAAGAGAAACCCAAAGAGGAAATTCCAGAGGAAGAGCCACTCCCCGAGAACATGGGTAATGTTGACTTTTGAGATATAAATCACTCATTGTAGTTGATTATCAACTTGAAGATCACAAGGGTATATTGCTTTCCCTTGTGGAATAAGATAAGCTGCCTAGCAATGGGCATTTATCTGAAGTGAAGTTTGGGTATCAGTCCAACTTGCATGGCTGGAGGGCCAATCTTTTATGCAGAAATCATTCCACAGTTATGATGTTCAATTTGGCTTGATTAACAAAATTCAAGTTGATAACCAATTACAGATAACTTTCTGCTAACGGACACTCTCGTAAGCAGACAGCTCTACTTGCAGACAATTTTTTTTCAATTCCCCTTTTGCCTCATAGTTAAAATCTTAATTAACACTTTCATGTAAGCAGCACTCTCTTGTAAGTGGACATGGACACTTTTGAAAGTTTTGTTTACATTCTCATGTAAGCGGACACCCCATGGATAGTAATTTACTCTTGACAATAAAATTTGTCCTCAATTTGTATATCAACAAAAATATGACCTTTGACAGAGCAAATCTTTATTTGTCCACAGGAAAGAAAATTGTCAGTTCCTTTGACATTAACAAGAGTCTAACCTAACACTCATCCACCCTATTTTTCTTCTGTCTGCGTATGGGAATGATTCTTGTAGGGGACCCTTTTTTCCAATTACCGAGGGTGTCTGCCTATGAGAGAGAATTGACTGTATTTAAGTGTTTCACAATCTTGCGGATTTGGCATTTATTTGATAGCTAAACTTCAGGAACAACTTGCATTTGTTCTGTATTGTCAGTCAAGCATCGTTAATCTTTAAGCTCATTCATACCTAAACAGTATTAAATGGTTGAAAGTTAATGAAGTATTAATAATTATAATAGCTTTGAAAATACTCATTTAAAGTCATGGTACAGCTATTAATACATGTATGAAGTAATCTCTTATTAAATTACCGAGATAAGACAAGTGCCCTGATTGGTCGTGAACCTATCGTTTATTGCATGTGTGAAGTTTATTTTATAAAAGCAATAGAGCGCACTTTCGATTGTTTTATTTGACATAATAACCCAAACAGGATGTTGGGAGAACAATTCAGGCTTATGATTTAGAAACCTTTCTTATTTTTGCTCTACTTCATACTAGGGTTGTTATGCCAGTAAACTGATAGAAAATGAGGCCTATTGCATAATTGAGTTACAAAATCCTTGGCTGTTTATTTCTTAGGTTAATAATCAACCAAAGAAAAGAAGTATCATTCTGTTACTCTTACAATGAAGATGTCAGTCTCATCTTCGCTTTTGAATTTAATCTAAACTGGTTCAGTTGTGTAGTGGTGATGAATATAAAATGATGAATCTCTAAATGAACACATTTACTTACCACTAGTGAAAATGAAGGGTGTCGGTAGACCTATCCAAAGTGGCATGTGGACTGTATTTTTTTTTTATTTGTTATCATCTTAAATTACCCGTACTTTATGATTATACATGATCACCAGTGACATGTGAGCCATTTTCCATTTTTGGATTCCATGGTCAACCATAATTAAACGATAAAAATTAGGGACATCCTGCATCATTTCAATTTTATTTTGGACATTGTTTTTACATATGAATGAAGAGAAGATGACATTTTCATAACTGTATGTAAAAAACACTGAATCATTCTACAGTCACTTTGAATATGATACTTCCACCTAAACCATTAGATGTTTTTACCACTTGGCTATGTTCCTCAAAGTTGTTTTCATGCATGTGTGGGCTGCTTAAAATGTTTCGTACAAATTATCTAATTAGTTATAGCTTAAACCCACGATGCATTCAACTATTACTATTATGGTCCAAAGTTTCTTTAAAGTTGAGATTAAATGCTGAATATACCTTAAAATGTTTCTTTAAATTTAACCTTTTCTAATGTCTAACACAGTAACTGTTTTGTTCGATACAGCCAAGTGTGAATTCTGCCACTACATTGGAATAAGGGAATCCTTTTTCTCAAAGTCCAAACGCTTTTGTAAAATGGAATGTGCGAAAAGATACTCATCTGCGTCCAATATTAAACAGAAGGCAAAAGGAGACAAGATTGGGACTCCAAAAAAGAAACACAGAACTTCAGACAGACACCATAAAGTTTCTTTAAAACTCGATCTTCTTTCTAACCTAGTGACTGTTTTGTCCGATACAGCAAAGTGTGAATTCTGCTGCTACATTGGAGTAAGGGAACACTTTTTCTCAAAGTCCAAACGATTCTGTAAAATGGAATGTGCAAAAAGATACTCTGCATCGAATATTAAAAAGAAGTCGAAGGGAGAAAAGATTGGAACTCCGAAAAAGAAACACAGAACTTCGGAAAGACACGCACACAATGCAAATGCGGCAGCTGCTGCTGCTGCTGCTGCGTCGGCAACATCGTCAGCTTCTACTGCAGCAGCAGCGTCTGGTGTCCAAGAAGTGAGTCAAGATGGGCAGCAGGTAAGGCAACATTTCCACAAGCCCATGAACCCCTCTAACTCCCATGAGTCATCAAATTGTCATTTCTCCTTGCAATAGTAAAACATTAACCAGCAAACAGGTAATGAGAAGAGATGAACTTATCACCTAAAGTGTGTTATCTTGATGTAATGCCAAGTTCTCTGAACTGATTCTAAGGAAAGTTATAGTAGCTAGAGAGGAGAATTGCTAATTAGATCTTGGGAGTTAGAGTGATGGTAGATTCATCACGATTTGTGTCAACTTATATTCTATTTTATGATTTATCTACTTTTTCCCCCTTTTTAGTAGGATTAACCCTGATCGTGCATGAAAAATCAACGCTAGATTTCTACGATGTACAGATACACGTAGCTTGTTGTAACTGAAATTCTGTTAACCCTTTACTCCCTAAAATCAGTATGCATCTTCTCCATACTACTCTCTAGACATTTCCTAAGGTTCTGACAAGGAGAATTTGTTCAACAATCAAGAGCTTCTTAAGTTTGTGATCATCTCCTTTATTCTCATGACCTTAATGTTTGATTTAAGGATGATACTGTAACGAGAAATTAGATGTTAGTCACTCTTAGGGGTTAAAGGGTTAATGTGTTAATTCTCTGGGAAACATTGCAATGTACTGCGCATTTGAGTAGAAATTTTACAGCTCACTTTTGACATTTCGCACACATTTCAGGAAGAAGCAGAAGGTTCGGGAGCAAGTGCGACCCCTTTGTCTCGAGAAGGTAAATTCTGTCTATTCAATTCATCGCCTGTTTGTTGTGACCTCATTTTTTTGAAACATTCCTCTCTTTTCCTTGTACAAAGATGTTGGTGAAAACTGGCAGAATCGTAGCTTTGACTGGACAGAATACCTCAGAAAAACAGGAGCGAAAGCTGCCCCTACTCATTATTTTGAGCATGTAAGTTTGAATTGAATCTGTTGGTTAAGGTGTTCGTGAATGAGTGATAAATGCCCAGTTTGGGACAACCAGCGCACAAGTTGCACATTTGAAGGGCTAATGCGCGGTAATGCGATAAATTGGAGTTCTTTAAGATCCCGAGAAGGGTGTTCATTTTTCTTGTAAACAAAGTAATCCTACTACTGATAGCGGAGAATTCTATATCGGAACCAGAGCGGAGCTGACATCGTTGTGTTGTTTCTAGGTAAGTCTGAGCCCTTGTTTGAAAGGCGTACATGTTGGCATGAAAGTGGAAGTCGTAAACTGCAGTATGGATGTCGTAGACGATACAGATGTTGCTTTTTGGGTGGCGACCGTGATTGAAATCAAACACTACAGAGTCAAATTACGGTATGAAGGGTACGAGGTAAACCCTGCAGGCGATTTTTGGTTTGATCTGAGGTCAAAGAACATCCATCCAGTTGGTTGGTGCGCCAAGAGAAATAAACTGCTCATACCGCCTCCAGGTATGGTAACTTTGCACTTTACACCCTAACATCAGCATGCATATTCTCCATACTGTTCTGTACCCATTTCATAAGGTGCTGGCAAAGAGAATGTGATTAACAATCAAGAGCTTCTTTAGCTGGTGATCACCTCCTTTATTCTCCTGACCATAAAATGTTTGATTCAGGGGTGACATTGTAAGGAGAAATTAGTTGTTAGGAGGTAGTCACTCCTATCTAGTGAAATTTTTGTGTACACGTGGATTACATCTTGAAACGAAAGGTAAGCCAGCGGGAAAAGGTTCAAGACCATGTTTTGTTACTAAAGAAATAGTCGCAAGCAAAAATTCAATAGACTTGAAGAAATTTCAAATATTTTTCACTCTGGGTTTTTGCAGGACAGCTCCTTCAAATTCTAATTCAGGAGTGAAATTATGAACTCAAGTCTCTCCTAATGACGTTTTTAGTGTAAACTTTTTCTTAGTACCTTTTTTGTTGTATAGCTATCAGAGAGAAATGCGCCAACTGGAGGGACTACCTCTTCAAATGTCTCTCAGGAGCCAAGACTTTCTCGGTTGAATTTCTTCAACAACTGCAAAGCCAATCTTACAACAGATTTCAGAAGGGCATGAAGGTGGAAGTGGCCGATCGTAAGAATATGTACTCCATGTGCGTGGCGACCATAGTTGATGTGATCGGAGACCGCCTGAGGATGCGGTATGACGGACTGGATGACGATGTGGCTGAAGACTTCTGGTGCCACTACCAATCGGCTGAGATTCATCCTATTGGCTGGTCATCCTTGGTTGGACATACTTTGCAGCCACCCATTGGTGAGTGTATGTCGTGATGCCATGATGAAGTACAGAACTACTCTCTGTTCGTGCGTAAAGCGCGTATGATGCGTGGGAATTACACACCCTTCCAGGGCGTGTAGTTACACGCGTGCATATTAGAAATTACACGCGTGTGGCGGTTTACACGCAGATGTGTGTAGTGACGCGTGGTGTGGGTGCTTCACACGTGAAGTGCGTGGGGAGTACACGCGCGTGACGCGCGTGTAATGCTGCGGTACATGCGAGCCGTACTACATGCCGCGGAGGATGAATTATATCAAGACTACTTGATGAAAATGTGAAAAATTCCACTTTCTTATGATGGAAAAAAAAAAAAGAGGGGCAATGATAAACCACTAAGGGACAGGAAGACCTAAGGATGGGGCGAATTAAAACGATGCACCAATGACAAATATGTTAGGCTGGATTTCCTTGGGATACCTAAAATACACATTTTTTGTATGGCTCCTAAATCATATAACCAGTTTTTTGCGTTATCCCGAAAAACTTTGCAAGAGTGTTGAAGGGTCAGGATAATGTTATCCACCGGGTAAATCTCTCGAAAATGTTTCGCCAACGTTTTTCACGTCTACCCTAAAAGTAATCCATCTTTAACTTTCTCCTACTCTGACTATCCGTTCCCCTATCAGGATTTTATATATAGGCTTATTTGGCGTCACAGATATCTTGGTTTTTCTTAACACCACTATGTGCGTCTACTTGTCATTTAGGCTGGAAACACAGTCTCAGCAAGTGGAATGAATTCTTGGCGGATGATTTGGCAAACTCATTAGATGGCGACCAGGATTTGGTCGCCAAAGTGAAAATTTTTGCATTGGCGCCTGTATTAGGCGCAATTTACAGGCTTATGTGGCGTCACAGATATCTTGGTTTTAAGTCTACTTGTCTCAAAGTGCACCTCAGGAATTTTTTTGTGGTATTTAATTTCTAAGGTTTGTAAGTGATTATATCTTCGAATGAAAGATACTTAAGTTGTGTAAATTATATTTAAAAAAATATTATTTTCCAAATTTTAATTCAGTTTGTATTTACCTCGTGGTACAGCAACGTACTCACAATTATTTTGAGCAGGAATTTGGGATTCGCAACACTCTATATAACATGTACTTGTTGGCCAAGGCGTAATATTTCAGATAGGGTCAGTTGGTGGCTCCGGTTGTCTTGTCAAATCACAAAATGTATTAACCCTTTTGATTATTAAACAAAGTTTCTTTGCCAGCAACTTAGGAAATGTTTAGAGAACAGTATAGAGAGTGTGCATGTTGATGTTAGCGTATAAAGGTTTTGAGAAAAATTATTGCAATCTTAAATTACTTTTCCCCACGGATTGAAAATTGCTCCAAAATTGAAGCGTATCACAGAAGATGACGTGACGCGGCTCATCGATCAAGCATTCATTTTTTCAGTTTTTTTTTCATTTTTATTTTAAGGACTCTACGGGAACAGCCCCTGGCGTTCACCAGTTTAAAGTGGGCATGAAATTCGAGGCTATTGACCCGTTCAACCCGAGTCATGTGTGTGTAGTGACGGTGATCAAGGTGCTGAGGTTCAATTACTTCGTGCTTGGAGTCGATTCCCTGGCCACTTACTTCGTGTGTCACGCTAACTCAATTAACGTGTTCCCCTGCGGATGGGCTAAGGCTCACGGGCTGCAGTTACACCCGCCCAGAGGTGGTATATGCTTCTGTCTTTTTTCTTCTAGAGAATTAGTTTTTTTCCTTGGAACAATCGAAGCTTAATAAGCGGACACACCAAGAACACAAGAAGGGTGTCTGCAACTGAAGTTAAATGCTCGTAAGCATGGTTCAGCAGAAATGTAAGCAATAGCTGGCTGCATACGGTAACACAGCGGTCAGACGTCCGCTCATGTGTGAACTTTGAAACGGCTAAGAGGCGGCCAAATTTGTTGTTAAGAGTTTTTGCTGGTAGGAGTTCGATCAGGGTCTGATGAAGATGGTCGTAGATAGAGCAGTCCTTTAACCTAAGAGTGCCTTAGGGTGTTTTCACATGGAAATGCCAGTGACGCACCAACGCGTCGCTAAACAAAAATGAATACAACATTGGGTCGCCGAAAAGTAACTAGTGTCCAATCTTCCACTCAACTTCTCATTAATTTCAAAAGACATATTGTAATGACGCCTTGATTTTGACCCATTTAGATTATACCCAAGAGGCTTTTAGCTGGCCTGAATATCTTGCCAAGACTGGTGGTATCGAAGCCCCACCTCAGCTCTTTCGACAGGTAATAACTACTTGTAACCCTTAAGCGCTCATTGAAGAAGGCGGTATGACTAAGTAGCTAGGTCGCTGGACTTGGAATCTCGTGGGTTCACGTCCTCCACCCTGCCACTCACTGGATTTGTTCTCGGTCGCCCCGAGTTCAACTCTTCGGGTGCGCTGTGTAAATGGCCATCTGGTCTGCCTCCCGCCAGTTGGGATTTTCAAGCACTTAATGTTTATTTGAATTATTTGTTTTTCTCTCTTTCGCGTAGTAACGAGCTTAGAGGCTTACAATAAACTTTTCTTTGTCAACTTTCAAAGGGGAAAAGTTTTTAACGAGACTGGGGGGTTGCGTTAGTGAAGGAGTATAACAAGATAATCGAGTTGATAATGTAAAGTGGCCTCCTAAAGCAGACGTTTCGAGCATTAGCCCTTCGTTAGAGCAAGTAGTTATTGTTTCGCTCCCCTTAACCCTTTCACTCCCAAGATCTAATTAGCAATTCTCCTTACTATCTGCCATACAATTCTTATGATGTTAGTTCAGAGAATTTGGTATTGGATCAACTAATAATCCCATGATTGATATTCTTCTCTATTCTCATCACCTACCTGCTTGATATTGTATTGATATTGTAAGGAGAAATTCTGTCTTGGTCACTTGTGGGAGTGAAAGGGTTAACTCCCGAGATCTGATTGTTAATGATCCCTTCCAGCTTATACACATTTCCTTGTAAATTGGCAACGAACATTTTGTGTTAAACCAAGATAACTTTACCTGATAATTTTGAGTATTCTCATTACCTGTTTGCTGGATAAAGTATGGGTATTATAGGGAGAAGTGACAGGTTGATCGCTTCTGGAAGTTAAAGGGTTAACCAGTTTCATCTTTCATTACTAAGGAGCAAAGGGGTGAAAACAATTTTAAAATTGGAACCAAACTTGAAGCAGTGGATCTGCGCGAACCCGCCCTCATCTGCCCTGCAACGGTAACAGACCTCAAGGGACCCTTGCTGAGAATCCATTTTGACGGCTGGGACGAGTCCTACGATCAGCTGGTGGATAAAGATTCGTTGGATATTTTTCCTGTCAGTTACTGCACCTCTGTTGATCATCCCCTGCAACCTCCAGGGTGAGAATTGTTTTGTTTGTGGGTCTGTCTGCAAGACTGTCTGTCTGCCCGTCTGTGTGTCTTTCTTTCTATGTGCATGTTTCCTTATCTGTCTGTCTGTTTGTCTGTCTGTCTGTCTGTCGTTTCCGAAGTACCGCAGTGCTAGTTTGAAAGAATTGTGAATAAGCCAGCGGCTCTTCCTGCTCTTTCTACTCAACCGTCATGGCCAATCAGATAGCAATGTGCTATTACTCCTTCTTTGCTGTCATTGTCGAAATCGTTGTAAAGTTTTTGCAAGAATACAATGTGTCGTTAAGAATGGTTCAAAATTAAATTTGTTTTATGGGTTCGAATCAAGAAACAGTGATACTCGTAATTTCATTGCGGTAATTCAAAATCAGGCTGCTCCAGTTAACCTTTGGTTAAAAGCCAATCAACAGCTTAAGTTTCGTTGTGAACGCTGTAGGTAAGTGGTGTTGAGGTCTTCTTTTTTTTCAACTCCCGATCGCCACTAATGTGTGCCTCTGGTTCGATTAAAATGTAGTATTTGGCAATGTTTTGCTGACATCTTTGTGGGGAGAATGATTCAAATCTCTCGTCTGTTTGTTTACTTTTATGCAGACCAATGCCTGATAAATTTGTCGAACGTTACGGTCCAGTTACGGATGTCGGCCGTCAATCATTGCCCAGACCCCTGAGTAGGCCTGTCAAAAGACGAACATCTGCTGACGACGATGGACAAAAGAAAAAAAGTGAGTGCCACCGCTTACTTTGTGCAGCGGTACTAGAATGAAAAGTTGATGTGATTGCATCGCACAAAGGGTTTTCTTATCATTCACGCACTCCCAATGCATGTGAAGCGGATGTGAAACAAGTAAATAAGCGACTGTTGCAAGCGACACTAGTTACCTGAAGCAGTCAGGAGAGCGTCTCACCTTCAAAACTTCAGCTTTCCAAAATTTTCTTCGGCAGTTAACAACCTTTAACAACTTTAAGGTGACGATTGGGGAAAGATTCTATAACAGCTTGAAACTTTTTCTGTTTCCTATCCCAGCCAAATCGCTTTACCCCCAGGAGGAGGTATATCTGAACAAGCGCTGTTTCCCAGGACCGCTCTTAAGCCGTGACTTAGTGCGCAGTCTCCCTGATGCAGTCAGAGGCTCCGTGGTAGGACCTGAGAAGCACAACATTATGCGACTGTGTATGCAGCACTTGGTCTCCGCGTCTATCAATCCCAAACAGGTCCTGGAGTTGTTTAGCCGCGAGTTTTATCAGAGCAAGAAAAACAGGTAGAACTTATATGCCTTAACATTGAAGAAACTTACTTAAAAAATTGTGGTAGACAGTAAAGAAAACTACCGCAGAGGTCCTAGGAGTGAAAGAGTTAATCAGCCGGCCCATGTCTAGCGAGGCTACTTTTAGAGGACCACGTTTATCACTCAAACTGACTCTCTGTTTCTCTCCCCTTTCTTTTTCTGGTTACCAGAGAATTCCAACTTGGGGGAACAGTGTGTATTGAGACTAAGAGCAAGAATGGCAAGCGACTCATGAGGCGTGTCCGCGTTGTGAATAAAGCGGAACATCTTCAGCCGTATTTGCAGCGAGTCTGTCAAGTGCTGGGGTGCTGCTCGGAGCTTGTCAGTGCTACGCGCTACGCTCTCGGCTCCTGCAATCAGAGCAGCTGTCTGAAAGGTTAGGAAGCAGTTCATTCTACGCACTCGCAGTTGATCATGGGACTTTCTAGTTAAAATGGACATGTTCATTTGAGGGAAGTTATTGCTACCAGACTTCGTTTGCTGACTAGTAAAGTATCCAAAGTAAAAATAAGAGAAAGTTGGGTTCTACACGAAGTAAACTAAAAAGCAACTATAAAAGAGAAAAAAAAAATCTTGACGTTGACACTGTTCGGGTGTATAATTTAAACTCGGTGTGGTAATGATCTCACTTTCTTGTTTGGCTTAAAAAGAACATTTTTTATGACTCAGACTGTGTTTCGAATATGGTAATTTGGTATAGCGTAAGTTGGCCACCGTTAAAAATTTCAAAGCTTAGCCCAACCCTCTGACGAAGGACTAACGCTCGAAACGTCAGCTTTAAAACTCTTAATGGTGGTAAATTTACGTTATCAACTCAGCTGATCATTCCAAATTACCCTGCTGTATTCTTCCACCGATGCAGCACCGCAAGTTTCTTTATAAACTTACTCCCTTTATCAATTTGTTTCGAATAGCATGACTGCTTTTGAAGGATGATGCATAGTAGGGAATTTTGTGTTCTTGTTTCTTTTTCACCTACTTTTATCTTTCGTATGTGTGTTTATTTTTTACATTTTGTTACGCTTTAGAAATATTCAACAATCTTTTTTTTGTTCCGAAAAATGCGAAGGCTTTGTAAGCGGGGACATACCATTATTTGACACTTTGTGGAAAAGAAAATTTATTTAACCAATTTTCCTCCTCGACGTGAAGAACTGATCTTTTTATAACGAATGACTACTTTCAGGGAAAGACAATGGTGTGACATCGTCAAGCGATGGCCGCGCCCTCCAATCAACAACCCTTGATGTTCCGCACCCACCCATCGCCCCACCCAGGATGAAAGGCCATCATGACTCAGCTGTTTGGCTACAGCCCTTGGAGAGAGAATCTTCACACGACTCGATGGTGTCGTCCACGAGTAACCTTCCCTCTTCGTCCGCAGCGCAAGAGTCAGACGCAGCGTCAGTTCTGTTGTACCAGAGCTGTAACAGCGGAAAAGATCCCCGGCTGTGGAACGTGCAGGAGGTGATGAGCTTCTTGTTCTCCATCGGCTGTTCGAATTACGTGGATGCTTTTGAGAAACAGGTATGTCAGTTTGTTTCGCCATTTTCTAAACGGTGCCTCAAGATGGAATGAAACGCGGAAAAGATTTAACTTTTGTTATCTACCTTTCAGTGTGCACTAACCAGAAAATAATTGACTTATTGTTGAAATTAGATATTTTGTTTCTTTTGATATGTCAATAGAAAAATTTTTAGAAGAGAAAGTGAGCAAAATCAAAATTTCGTTACTTATTTATTTATTTATTTAATCATTATTTATACACGACACAAAAAATTCATCAGGTACAAAAAATTCCAATGCAGTGACTTATATTCTAAGAACCTAAAAATCCTATTCCTAACATTTTATTAACTTACAACAATGCGCCACTTAAAAACCTGATTCCCATGAATGCTGTGTTTAAAAGTTATGATGGAGAAGGAGTTTAAATTGGGTTAATGAACCAGGCTCTCTAATTTTACAGGGTAAGCTATTCCAAAGGATTGCGCCGCTATAACTAAAACTATTTTTTATGTAGTTAGTTCTTGGAAAGGGGACAATAAGTTTCTTTACTGAGTCCCTCCTTTACGTTGATTGTAATCTTGGTTCTAGTTTCTTCTCTCTCTTTGCAGGAGATTGACGGTCGCGCACTTTTGTTATTGACGCAAGAAGATATGGAAAAGCTAACTGAAAACAAACTCGGCCCTATGACGAAAATCCAGAGCGCAGTGAAGGCTCTTAAACAAGCGTGGGGCATTTGAAAATATGAATCAAAATTATATCGTAAACACTACAGTTTTTATTTCAAATTTAATGTAATCGCAGTCTCCTGAGTGGGAACGTTTTTGTAGTAATATTTTAATGCGTTTTTTCTACTTTGATCCTACAGTCTCAACGCCAACAGGCAAACTCTCTCAACTGGCTGGCATAGATAAATATATTCCCTGTTTTCAAAAACGTTGCAATTTGAAAAACATAGAGAAATATATACACCTTTTGTTTGAGAAAACAAAAGGTACATATATTTCATGTATATTTTCAAATTGCAACGCTTAAGGGAACGTGTGTGTGTATACATATATATACATACATGTGCATATATATATATATATATATATATATATATATATATATATATACTACAAGCTGGAGGAGGGTGCATTTTTATCAAAACGGTTTCTCCTCAGTGATGATTTTGGTTTTCTCGTTTCCTCCATGCTCGATAATTAGTGAGATTTTGAGGAGAAGCTCTGTTTTGATAATTGTTGGGGCTCAGTAGGGTTGAGGTTCGGTAATGTAGGAGGCCACCCTGACAGTGATATAAACGCAGGGTGGAATCAAAAGATAACAAGTATAGGATCGGGAACAATCAACAGCCACTTTTTAAGGGGTGCTGTCTTTCATTTCATAGTGACTTTAGGGACAGAAATTTTCATGATTTAAGTACGCATTGAACTCTATAACTGACAGAAACTCTTTCAAATGATTTTGAGCAGTCACATTACGGTTTCAGCTTCTTGAAAGGTTTCGACTGAATTCGTTTGAGTTCGTTATTTGCAATCCTCTTACATCTTCACCATCCTTAGCCAATCGTGTTCCAAGTTGGCTCCTTATTGTTTCTGTTGAGTTTGTCTTTCTTACCAAACATGTATTTTGTGCCTTCAGACGGAGGGTTTCTTTTTTGTCGTTTTATTTTTCAGAGCGCAGAACATCACTCCAAATTTTTCCGCTGAAATAGCCACCAAACCAATCAGCAAACCGCGTTTCCCGCGCAAAGCCAGTTACGTTTTGTTCTCATAGGCTCGTTGTGATATGTTCCTTCAACGCTATTGGCCGTTAAATCAATGTGATTTTGGTTTCACGACACTCAATTGAAAACGCTCTATATTCAGTTTTTTTTTTCTCAGCATTTTTAAGACATTTTTACTCAAAATGATATTTCTTATCCTTTGCTCAGTTGAGACTTGGTAGATGTTCTGTCAGATATCACGAGAGAATTTTGCGCGCTTTTTTCCATGACCTTTCCTAAAGGCAAAAGTCAGCGCCCGAATGAAAAAGTGGTTGACTATGTAATCGTTTTTAATAACTCCCGATGTAGGTCACTCCCATGTAGTCTCAAAGCTTTATTTATGCCGAAGTTGTTAGATAGCGTATTTGTTTAATTCAAAACGGTCATGCAGCGACCCCCGTGTGTCACTAAATTTTCTATAGTTGTTTATAGTCGTTAGTCAAATCATTTAGTTAAAATATTTTAACGAGATTTTTCCGAAGCTGATAGACGTAGGGTCAATAGCACACGCGAGTTCTCAGTATCACCCGCCACTCAATTTATTGCATGAACAGTAAAATGGTTTTTCTAATCATGAAGTATGTTATTGAATAATCCATGTCCGAGTCTGAGCAACTACACACCTACCCCTCACCTAACTTGACAACGGTCAACTGATAGCAAGTTAATGTTAATGTAGGGTTCGGGGAGGGGTGGGTGGGTGGGTGCGCATGTGCCCAGATGCTGACGTGGATCCATAATGTAATCACTCTCAAATGGTTGACTACTTCCGGAAAATTATACTCGCCAGAGAAACTTGCTACAAACTATATGCTACTTGGGTTTTGTGAGACCTTTGATTCGAATTAGTGGGAAAGTTATTTTAGAATTAGTTTCGTTGGCGTGCATTTTACACTTAGAGCCAGCCCCTTTATTTCACCAAACTGATGGTTAATAAACCTCCATACCCTCTTCTTTTTAAGTATATTGTTGGTTTTGTGTAGAATTTAAATTTCAGCTTTTCTTCGTTCGTCAATATTGCATCCTCTACTAACTTGTGCACGTACAATTGAGTGTAGACTATGTCCGCGAAACAATCCAAATCAAAGCAATAGTTAAAATATCCAGTGGAGAGCCTGTTTCTTGATAAATTATTGTATTGTATACTGCCTTAATTTGCGAATATCTACCTTTTAATGGTTCAATGGTATGTCTAAAGGTCTGAATTAAAATTTCAATAATGGAACTTCTTGGATCGGTTCGTGAGCCCATGGGCAGAAGTGTGTTGCTGAGACGTAAGTTACTTAATGCTCGAGCTACTTTTCATGAAACAATAGGAATGAGCCACCTCATCTCTGTTCTGCTTTGGACAGAGAAAGCTGTAGGTTTTCTCTAACACTAGCTGGTATCGTCTTTATTCTCCCCTCCTTTCACAATCTTCACAACAGATGCGCAAGGTGCCGCCCCTTTCCATAGATTATCAATCTACTTGCCCTCAGAACAAATTTCCCAATTATGAATCCAGTGCGGAGGATGGAAAGTTAAAATTATTAACACCAACAACCACCTAGTAAGAAAAAGGTGTTAACCGTGCTAGAATTTAGATTCAAGGAGTTCTTTCCTGATGTCAATTCTCCCCTTTAGCTGCTACACATTTCTTTGTAAATTAGTTATGAGAACTTGGTGCTAGATCAAGATAGCATCTTCTACCTGATAAGTTTGAATATTTTCATTACCTGTTTGCTGAATATTTTATGGGTATTATAGGGAGACGTTTCGTGTTAATCACTTCTGAGAGTTAAAGGGTTAAACCTGTTCCCCAGAGGCGGATATTCGAAAGGCACTTACCGCTAATTCAGGGCTAATATAGAGATTTAGCCAAGCCTAAAAGCAAAGCTCGCATTTTTTTTTCCCGCAAAGCCATGGCGTTGGTGTGCCCGCGGTACAGTTCGCCATGCATGTTAAAAGTAGCACCTTGTACAGTCGTACGGTCGAACGGTCGTACATCCAAATTTTTTCGGCTTGATGGGTTACTATTATTTTGTATAATTATGGGGCTACGCTCTGCGAGCTCCGCTAATAATTTAACTTATTCTTATTTCTTCGAAGTGAAAACTTATGATTTCTATTAAAGGTTGTAACTTATTGTTGGGTGTTATTTCCCTGTTTGGAAAGACTGAAACAAGCAATGTATAGATAAGACTAATTATTCAAATTACAATTAATTGATCGACCCCAGGAGCCCATACATTATTGTGATGGCCTCCTGACGACCGCACTCGTTCACCAGTTTAAATATGCAAGAAGTGGTAGTGATCAGACTGAAAATTAGCATAAATTATGCACAGTACATCGTGTACAAACAAGAATAGTTATTAATTGGTGTGTGTGCTCGTTTCTGCTTTAAAATGGCTGATCAAGGCAAAAAAAAGACCCAAGCTATATCAAACGAGAAATATAGGGACGTGCTCTTAACAACGACAAACCAGCTGCGAAAAGAAGGAGTCCTTTGCGATGTTCGACTTCTTGTGGGAGATCAAAGTTTTCTCGCTCATCGCAGTATTCTCGCCGCCAGTAGCCCGTATTTCCGAGGTTTATTCACCAACGACATGAAGGAAAAAGATCTAATGGAGTGCAGACTTGACCAACTGCAAGCCTCTGTCATGGAACCTCTCCTTGGTTATTTATACACCGGCAATGTGACTCTTGACGAAGAAAACGCAGAGAGCCTCGTGGCAGCGGCCGATTATCTGCTCATTCAGAGCCTCAAAGATATTGGGTGCGAGTTTTTAGAAGGTCTGCTTTCTCCATCAAAATGCTTCACCTTGAGAGATTTTGCTGAGAAATACAGCTGCGATTCTCTGAAAAGCTCTGCCACGCGCTACATTGTGAAACACTTTAACGATGCCTGTGATACAGAAGCTTTCAAATCGGTGGAGTTCAGAGTTTACATCGAAATAATCGCGCGCGACGATCTCGAAGTTTCGCGCGAGGAAGATGTGTATGAGACGCTGATCAAGTGGGTGAAGCACGATTTGGAAACTCGGAAAGAGTATTTCGACGAATTATTCAGCAAAATTCGCTTGTCTTCGTTATCGAGGCATTACTTGATTAATCAAGTGGAAAAAGAAGAGCTGGTCAGCGAGAGTTTTTATTGCACAAAGCTTGTGGTGAAAGCTCTGAACGCGTTTATTCTCCACGAGTATGACGATCGCGAGTGTGCTCGAAATAATCTCAAAAGATATTTGGATGTCATCACAGTGTGCGGCGGGAATTTGTGCAAAGAGGCGACCTGTTATTCCCCGGCAAAGAAAAAATGGCTGCCTTTTGCAGACATGTTGAAGGCGCGCGACGAACACTGTACGGCTGTTCACGACAATGTCCTTTATGCGTTTGGCAGCACACAGACTGAGAACGGCCAGTCGGTCGAACAGTATAATGCGCACACTAACTCCTGGATAGCGGTGGCAAACATGCCTCAGATGCGCTGCGCAGCAACCGCTGTCACGTGCGGTGATCACATCTTTATCATTGGAGGAAGAATACCAAACGGTGGCGGTTCCACCAAACAAGTCATGCGCTACGATGCCGATATCAACAAGTGGTTTATTGAGACGTCCATGTCTTTCAAACGTGCTGGTCTCTGCTCAGCAGCTTGTGACGGTCTCGTATACGCAATCGGCGGTTTGAGCGACAGGAACGAGTTTCTGCGCACAGTTGAACGATACGACCCGCGAAAAAAGGTATGGAGTGACATCACGCCCATGCAAGTCGCGCGGTATTTCGCGTGCGCAGTGGAGATGAACGGCAAAATATTTGTAATTGGTGGCCAGTCCTCCAGCGGCGCGTATCTGTCCTCGTGCGAAGCATTAGATCCTTCCACAGAGGAATGGGCCTCGCTACCAAACATTTCTTTCCCTCGACAAGCGGCCGGAGTAACAAGACTTGGATACCGGATTTACTTGTTTGGAGGCTGTAATAACTCGGGCAGTCTGGACAGTGTTGAATGTTACGACGACAGGAAGCGAAGCTGGGAAACAATCGCGAGGATGCCCTGTAAAAGATCTTGGGTACAGTGTGGCGTGCTTCGTGTGGCCAAAGATCTTTTCGAACTCAACTAATCAAATTGAAGACATCGTAACACACGATTATTATATCGACCTCCTGAAACAAGACGCAGGAATGGAATATACTGGAAAAACTAGAAAACTTTACCCTCGAAATGGAGCAAACCAAGGAATGACTAATTTGATGGACTTTAAACGGAGATTGGTTCAAGTGAAGAAATGACAAGGAAAAGATAAACAAAAGTTGGACAAGCAATTTCCAAATAGCAATTCTCGTCAATTTTTTGCCTAAAATCCAGTCCAACTCCGATTTTAACTTTTAACTTGTAATTTCAAGTTGGACTATTCCGAGTCTCTTTTGTCGTATAAGAATTAGGGTTCTTAACCCTTTAACTCCCATGAGTGACCAAGACAGAATTTCTCCTTACTATATCTGTACAATATCATCCAGACAAGTTATGAGAATGAAGAAAAATATCAATTATGAAATTACTAATTGATCCGATACCAAATTCTCCAAACTGACATAATGAGAATCATTTGGCAGACGATAAGGAGAATTACTAATGAGATCTTGTAATCAAGAAATGGCTCCTTAAATTGTATTAAGCGTCACTTGAACCAGGCTAGCAGCATTCTTAGATTTTAAGGGGGCTCCGAACTCTTTTTTGCTCAAGGAAACGAATTTGGTCGTGACTCGAATTTATCGACTCAAAAGAGAAATTGTAACATAAAGGGTAACTAATAGCGATGTATTTAAATACAATTCATCATGCACAATAACTAAGCAATGGATGTATTTCTCACGGTCGTTGAGAGGCGCGACTGTTAATGGAACGTGGAGATGCTGGTGAAAAGTGTCCGATTTTGGACACTAATGTCCGTTTATAGACATTAGTGTGCAATTTCGGACACTAGTGTCCGATTTTTGAGACTGGCGTCCGATTTTAGCCCCTAATGTCCTATTTCGAACAATAGTGTTTGATTTTGGAAACTTTTGTTGGGTTTAGGCATTAGTGTCCAATGTTAATAAGTAGTGTCCGATTTTATACGCTATTGTCTGATTTTGGATACTTATGTCCAATTACAGACACTAATGTCTGATTTTCGAAACAAATGTCCAACCACAGACACGAGTGTCCGATTTTAGACATTAGTAACCGATTTTGGACGCTAGTGTTCGATTTCAGACACAAACATACGATTTTAAAATTAAGTGTCCGATTTCAGACACTAATGTGCGATTTTCGATACTAGTCTCCCATTTTCGACATTTTAGACAATGGTATCTGATTTTGTACATAAGTATCCGATTTTGAACACTAGTGTCCAGTGTTAGACACTAGCGTGCGATTTAAGACACCAGTGTCCGATTTTAGACTCTACCACCCGATTTAAGCACTGTTGTGCAATCTTAGATACAGTATTCAATTCAATTTTAGGCACTAGAATCCGATTTCAGACACTTAATGTCCAATTCTGAGCATAAGTGTGAACCTTTAGACACTAATGTCCGATTTTGGATACTTGTGTTCAATTTTAGGCACTAGTGTACCATTCTAGACAGGTATTTAATTCTTGACGCAAGTGCTGGTGCTGGTGTCCTATTTAACACACTAGCTTCACATTTTGGACACCAGCGTCCAATTTTAGACACAAGTGTCCGATCTTAGACACTAGTGTCCGATTTTGGACACTGGTGTTTGATTTTAGACACACGTGTTCGATTTGAGACTCTAGTATTCGATTTTGGACACCAGTGTTCGATTCTAGACTCTAGTGTTCGGCTTTAAACACTAGTGTTCGATTTCACACTAGTGTTCGATTTTAGACACTAGAGTTCGATTTTAGACACTAGAGTTCGATTTTAGACACTTGTGTTTGATTTGAGAAACCAGTGTTTAATTTTAGACACTTGTGTTTGATTTTAGACACTTATGTTCGATTTTAGACACTGGTATTTGATTTTGGACACTAGTGTTCAATTTTAGACAGTATTGCTCGATTTGAGACACTAACGTTCGATCTTAGACGCTTGTGTTTGATTTGAGACACTAGTGTTCGATTTTAGACTCTTGTGTTTGATTTGAGACACTAGTGTTCGATTTTAGACACTTGTGTTTGGTTTGAGACACCGGTGTTCGATTTTAGACACTTATGTCCGATTTTAGACTCTTGTGTTTGATTTTGGACACTAGTGTTCAATTTTAGACACACGTGTTCGATTTTAGACACTAGAGTTCGATTTTAGGCACTAGTGTTCGATCTGAGACACTAGTATTCGATTTTGGACACCAGTGTTCGATTTTAGACACTGTTGTTCGATTTGAGACACTAACGTTCGATCTTAGACACTAGTTTTTGATTTTGGACACTAGTGTTTAGTTTTAGACACTGGTGTTCGATTTTAGACACAAGTGTTTCGTTTTAGACACTAAAGTTCCATTTTCGACACTAATGTTCCTTTAAGACGCTAGTATTTGATTTTAGACACTAGTGTTTAATTTTAGACACTGGTGTTCGATTTTAGACACTAAAGTTTCATTTTAAACACTAGTGTTTGGTTTTAGACACTAAAGTTCCATTTTAGACACTAATGTTCCATTTTAGACACTAACGTTCAATTTGAGACACTAATGTTCTATTTTAGACACTAATGTTCCATTTAAGACACTGTTGTTCCATTTTAGACACTAATGTTCGATTTTAGACACTAGTGTTTGATTTTGGACACTAGTGTTTAATTTTAGACACTGGTGTTCGATTTTAGACATTAGTGTTCGATTTGAGAGACTAGTGTTCCATTCTAGACACTACTGTTCGATTTTAGACTCTAGAGTTTGGTTTTAGACTCTAGAGTTTGGTTTTAGACTCTAATGTTTCATTTTAGACACTAATGTTCCATTTTAGACGCTAGTGTTCGATTTTAGACACTAGTGTTTGGTTTTGGACACTAATGTTCCATTTTAGACACTAATGTTCCATTTTAGACACTAATGTTCCATTTTAGACACTAACGTTCCATTTTAGACACTAACGTTCCATTTTAGACACTAGTGTTTGGTTTTGGACACTAATGTTCCATTTTAGACACTAGTGTTCCATTTTAGACACTAACGTTCCATTTTAGACACTAATGTTCGATTTTAGACACTAGCGTTTGGTTTTGGACACTAATGTTCGATTTTTGTGACTATTGTTCTATTTAAGACACCAGTGTTCGATTTTAGACACTAGTGTTCGATTTTTGACACTGGTGTTCGATTTGATACACTTATGTTCGATCTTAGACACTGGTGTTTGATTTTGGACACTAGTGTTTAATTTTAGACACTGGTGTTCGATTTTAGACACTAACGTTCGACCTTAGACACTAGTGTTTGATTTTAGACACTAGTGTTTAATTTTAGACACTGGTGTTCGATTTTAGACATTAGTGTTTGGTTTTAGACACTAAAGTTCCATTTTAGAAACTAGAGTTTGGTTTTAGACATTACTGTTCCATTTTAGACACTAATGTTCCATTTTAGACATTACTGTTCCATTTTAGACATTAGTGTTCCATTTTAGACACTAGAGTTTCGTTTTAGACGTTACTGTTCCATTTTAGACACTAATGTTCCATTTTAGACGCTTGTGTTCTATTTTAGACACTAATGTTCCATTTTAGATACTAATGTTCCATTTTAGACACTAATTGTCCATTTTAGACACTAATGTTCCATTTTAGACGCTTGTGTTCCATTTTAGACACTAATGTTCCATTTTAGATACTACTGTTCGACTTTAGACACTAGTGTTTGGTCTTAGACACTAATGTTCCATTTTAGACACTAATGTTCCATTTAGGACACCTGTGTTCCATTTTAGACGCTGGTGTTCTTTTTTTGACACTGGTGTTCGATTTGAGACTCTAATGTTCGATGTTAGACACTAGTGTTCGATGTTTGACACTAGTGTTCGATTTTAGACACTAGTATTCGATTTTAGACGCTAGTGTTCGATTTTAGACACTGGTGTTCGATTTGAGACACTAGTGTTCGATTTTAGACACTAGTGTTCGATGTTAGACACCAGTGTTCGATTTTAGACACTAGTGTTCGATTTTAGACACTAGTGTTCGATTTTAGACGCTAGTGTTCGTTTTGACACTGTTGTTCGATTTGAGATACTAATGTTCGATGTTAGACACTAGTGTTCGATGTTAGACACTAGTGTTCGATTTTAGACACTAGTGTTCGATTTAGGCATTTTTGCTCTTACCCCTCCCTTGTACCCTTCAAACTTCCCACGTGTTAAAAAAACGCACACTTCTTATGGAAAAATGTCCAAATTCGGCTACCGGAAAAATAGCACCAGTGCCACAATGTCGATAGATTGCATCGAAAATTTTGCTTAACTCCTCGATACTGGAAAAAGACTCTGTTACAACCAAAACATAATCTTAAATTTACGGCACCACCCGTGTAGTAATGTTGATTTTCATCACCTCTTCCCCTCCTCTGCCCTCTCGTGCCTCTACCTATTATGAATATCGCGCTTGTATACAAATGATAATTGTCAAATTTTGAGATAAGGTTTTAGAAATGTCAGCATAAATGAGCATTTTCTCGATAGAATGAAAATTCGGGCGCAGTTTTTGACTTGAGCTAGTCGGTCTAGTGACTTGAGCTAGTCTTGGTTGCCTCAGTATTGATAATAGTTCTCCTTTCCCCTCCATCAAGAAAGGAGATCAGAGGGAGGCTCAAGCTAAGAAACTCCGCTCGATTTGAATCAGCATTTCCATGTTTACCCTGGGCGATTTCAAGAGCCTCAGAGCTTTACTCTCACAAATTCTTTTCAAACATCACCGGTTTAATTTGAAAGTGGCGTTATCCGTTATCGAAATTTTCAGAGGTAGTATGGTCGAGGCCTAAGAGCGTTCATATTTGTCGGTTATTTTATTATTTTGTGAGTGGTCTTCATTTTAGTTAAACCCGACAGGAAACAACGTCAAGAAATTCTATGTTATTTGAATATTCATAAACCCCGGGCGTTTTTAAACTCATGCTCTTAAAGTGTTAATTCAAAAAGCTCCAGATTTAGTGAGGACTGTAGATCTAACCTTACAAAAGTTTTAAAAAAAGATTGTCCGGGGTGGTTTGATTGAAGCTTTTCTCGTGAATACTCGACTTACGCCGGCTGTTGTGAGCCTCCGCGCGAATCATGGCTTGAAAAAGAATAGTTGACTCAAAATAACAGCTAATTCAGCGTGCACTTTTGTTCATTTGTTTACAGGTTTGTCAGACAACAATGATTCCAGCGATCTGTCGTGGACGTAAAGTGATATAACTTAATTAAGACGTCGTTAAGAGTTTATTTTGGACAAAGTGCCTTTCGACAAGACAGTAACATGTGTATTTCAAGAGTGCGAATCGCGCGGAGTTTCTCTGAAATCTGCACCATTTGTGGAACACCTGGGTTCTTCGAAGTCGTTTCACAAAATTTGTATATAATTTGTAAAAACCTTTGTTTGAAATCCTTGAGAGTTTAAGAGAGCCTTGAATAACAACAAAAGCGTACTAAAATTTCCATGAGAGCAAGACTAAAGTTAGATCTCTTCAAACAACGTATTTTCCTAACAAGAACAAAATGGCACTGGGGTTGTCTTTTCTTAACAACCTTTTATTACTACCCAGGTAATGTTTGGGCGTAGAGTTTCACCTGGATGTGTTTCCTCGTTTTATTGGCGTACTGTTTAATAAACTTAATGTTGTTTACAACCTTTGTTGAGTCTTTGAAAACAAAAGGCCAGAAAAAGGTTCGTGCCTCGGCCGAAGATTGCTAACAATGGAGAAACTTGGCTTCCTGA